AATTAGTGTAAATCAATTTGATAGACTCCTTTTTCATTAAAAAAAATTTAATTTTTGAATCATTTTTTTATCAATTGTTGTTTATATTAGAGTAATTGTTGTTTATTTTATGTATACTGGTTTTTATGGTTCTTATTAATAATTATTAAACCAGTGTTTGTTATTTAATTTTGTTTCCCATTGGGTTCTATTCGGTTTTTATAAAAGAATAGGTTCACCGACAACGGCAAACACTGGTGATGCCGATATTGTCATAACTTTTTACGGGCAAACTTTTTTTTGCAAAAATTGGTACAAATGCATTTGAGGGGTTCCTAAATCCAGTGGTGTAGTCAGATTTTTTATAAAAAAATCGCTAACAAAATTTTGCTATTTTTCACTTAAAAAAAAATTCGTAGTAGGCCTTGAAAACCAAAATTTCGTCTTCAAATTTTGCATCAAAATAGAGCTTTTGGAGATCTATCTTTAAAAAAAAAACGGTTCAAATCGGTCCATAAACAACTTTTGTACGCGAGTGTTTCCATTCTTAATGGGTCACCCTGTATGTGCTTACTTCTGTCAACAAAGAAAATACTTTTCACATAGGTACTTGTAAATAGGATTTACGGTCTATACGATATTTATTGATAGAATTTCAAGAAGACCGATGCGTCACTTTCTTGGAATTAACCGCATTCGACATCCGAGGTAGAAAGACATTGGCGGCATGGCATTCACCGTAGCAGCTTGCAGTGCATACACTTGGTTTTGCAGTTATGAAGGCGTGTTTCTTCGTACGTGTTTCAATATTTTGAAAATAACGCGGAAAATTTCATGACACGCCTCTGACACGCTAAACTTGTACACCGCCGATCATGAAAATACGAGATACCATCCTTTTCACAAGACTTGAATATAAGTACTGCAATGCGAGATGTATTACAATTAAGCGATATAAACTAAGCGAGGATGGAACCATGTACCGGTTTTCGCCGGTTGGAACATGCAGAAAAATATGTTGATACCTACTTATATTAACATAGAAAATATTTATATTTTTGTGAACGCTTAATTTTTAAAATTATATCCTCTTTTCCTTATGGAATGTGACGCTTTACGTATACATAATTATGTGTTTAAACTGTTTAAAGATGAACATAAAACATACTGGCCCGTTACAATTTCTTTCCTCGTCCCCGCCTATGGTTTCCGACGTCATAGACGAATCATGTGTACCAATTTCCGGGCTCTACATACTTATAACAAAGCATGCACTTTTATAACTTTGGCAATTTTATTGCTGTTTGTCACTTTAATAATCGTGCACTGAACACTGAACGAACCAATAAATTGTAAGGTTAGATAAAACAGCTGATTCATTTATTCTACTTATTTGAATCGGATAGAAAGGATAAAAAAATATGATTAAATCTGATCCCTAAAGCAATTTTCTTTTGACCGTTTGCTTTTCGAAAATCGAAAATCAAGATCACTTATCCTATTAGATAATTGAGTTAATCGTTAATCTGGCAGTTTCAAAAATCCTAGAGACAGCCAATAATCCACTTTATTGCTTGACTTTTAACGAAAAAATTCAAATTGATATGTTATATCAGATCAGGATCAGTTTTTCTGTGTGAAAAACTTACTAAACAGACATAAATCTTAAAATTGATTCCATTAAAATTATTTCTAGATTGTCACATAAGAAACGCGCATGCGGAGAGCCTCGAAGTAAAGCGAATTTGGCTGCTGTAGACTCATCTAGACTGCTCTAGGGCTCTCTAGACCCTTGCTTTTTGCTGTACTAGACAGGTATTCGTGAGGTATTCCATTCTGTTTACAAAATACCTACAAAAAGAGAAAACGTTTCACGTATAATACCTAGTTCTATTCATGAGGATTTTATACACTCCAGCACTCCACTCAATAGATATCTAAGAACAAATGAATTTAAAATTTTTATTTTCTTTACCTGAGGGCATCCGAATAGTTTATAATGTTGTTAATACAAATTACTTACATAGTAGATAGGATAGTCTACTACTAATATTTAATAATAATTTTCAGTTTTATTTCGCATTGGTAATGGTGTTTGAGATATGAGATCTATTGCCATTTGACTTTAATACCCAGAATCCAAAATCAGCTTTTACGTGTTATCTGTTTCAATATAAATCGACTCTACGCTATTTTAAATCCTCTAAGTAAAAAATAGAAAATTACAAATCTGATTCTATTTTCTAAATGGTGTTATTTATTAGTGCTTACCGTATTTTAACTTTTTTTAATATATATATTCTTCAAATTGATATATAATTAAGTATATAGGTGAAACGTAGCTAAGCTTTTTATTCATCGTACTAGGTGTAATAATTAAATATACTTCCGATATCAGCGCACTCTGTCGTACACATAACTAATTAGATTAGTGAGTTATGCCGTCGGGCAATGCCATTTTGATATTTTATAAGTAATTCCTGTCAAAAATATAAAATTAATAGTGTTTCTAAACGGCTGTATTAGAATTATTAGAGTGTATAAGTGAATACGTCAATTAAAATTTGAGTTAATTTTTAAGAAGTATCTCTTAAAATGGTGTAAACTTCTATAGTGTACAGTGACTTGTGTTTGATCATATCTTTAACAAATTATAAACAAATCATTTGTAAAAATGGTATTTATGCTACACAATCTTTGATAGTGGTAATTTGATTCCAAAATAATGTTAAGATATAGCTTAATTGCAAAATGAATCGTGCCGGAGCCCAACAATACGTTTATGGCGGCTAATTCAAAAGAGTATGTAAACAAAACAACATAGAAGAACTAGATAAAAGTAGAAAAATATGGTACTTATGTAGATATTTAAATCTCCTAACTCGTAATGGACCCAGTACTACAAAGATTTGGAGATGTCACGATACAAAGACTTGAAAAACCAAAAGAGCCCAAAGTGGGACTACAAAATGACAGTGGTTCTTTGGAGAAATCCAAAGAGAGTAAAGATGAAAACTCCAGTGACTTGGAGGATGATAGTGGTGACGAATTTCCCATTCCTGGACTGAAAAGATCTGTGTCTAAAATGGAAGGTCCAGTGAAAAAATTTAAATTCAGCTCGGGTGATATAACTTTAGAGAAAAAATGTGATGACTTAAATATAAATAATTTTAGTGAAACAGAAATATCCGATTATGATACTGAGTCTGAAATGGAAGAGTCGGATAGTGAATTAAATGAATTGAATACCAACGAAGTATTGAACCTTAAACCTATACAAAACAAAGATAATTCAGAAGATGAAGCAAGTAGCAGCACTTCATTTTTTGAGAAATTAGTTGAACAGGTTGAGGCGCCAACGCCAAGTGTTCCACATAAACCTCCTGTTACAGCAGCTGATGAAGACTATGATATTGATATTAAAGAAAAACTGAAAGAGATGGGGGAAATTAGTTTTGAAACTGTTAAAAAGGGTGAGAAACCGAAGAAGGCTGAAATTTCCACTGAGAATGAAGTTGTTGTTACACCTGCCAGAAAACTTGGTAAGTAATTTTTGTTTATTATTTGCCCACGGGGCAGTCCAATCAAAGTCGTCAGGTCTAAGAAAGCATGCCTTAAAAAGAAGCAAATTGTTACTTAAACTGTTATATTGGGGTAATAAGAGTATTTTATGTAATAAATAATAATAAATGTGTAATTTGTTAGATCTGAGGGCGTCGTTTGCAATGTCCCTTGATCCTGGGCAAGCATCAGTCCTTACTTTGACTTATCTGATAGCATAGCTTATAAAATCAGTGGTACTATATAAATTTTTCTGAGCATTTTTTTAAATTAATTGAAAAGAGTAATAATAAAAGAAAAGTAATATTTTACAACTTTTTTTATGTTAGGAATCGATGGTGATGAAATAACGGGTCTTCCAAAAGGGCTGGCGATGAGGCGAAATATTAGAGAGGTTATGGATGAAACCAAGTTAGATGAGTCTACCCTGGCTGCCCAGAGACAAGAAGCTGAGAGGTTAAGAAGAGTTCAGGAACAGCAAAGGCTTCTTAGAGAGTTACAGCGGCAGGCGGCACAAGAAAGAATGCAACATAAGGTCATATCGTTGCTGCAAGGAAATCAGTTTTCTAAACCAGGTATATTTTTGTTATGTGTATAAATATGTAAAAGCTGTCAGTAGATATTAATACTCGTTATATTTATAGTTGGGAAACACAAGACTTGTGACAAAATAGAAATAATATTAATGTTAAATACATAGTATTGCTAATTGTAAATAATTTAGAATTCAGACAAAAATTCAGTGTCATTGGCTAATTTAAAACATTACTATATATTTTTTTAGTTTTCTGGAATACAATTTCAAAATGATAAAGTTGGAATCACAAAATTTAGCATTTATTTATTTTTTATTAATATATACTAAATTATGCAATTTTTCTCTAATTTAACGATCTCGTCTATGTTATTTTGATAGTTTCCCAAAATTATCTTATTCACTTTTAAACACCCTGTCTGTTTACAAAAACTATCGATACATTATGTCAAATTAAAACTCCTTTTTACGATACACTTGATATTCAGTGTCTGCCACTAAAACCTCCCCATCTTTTATAATTTTTAAAATATTGTAATAATTGTGGTATCATACATCTTTTCAAGACTTTAGTGCACACAAACACTGAATTTTTATGTTTATTTAGCATAGTCGTCTGCCTAAGTTTTGTCAATCTGCTTTAAACATATTTTTCAAAAACTTTAACACCCTTGATCTTAATTTGACGACTGGAATATGCTTCAAAAGTAGCACATTTTTGACACCCTGGTATTTTTGTTGTAATTCCTGTTATGTACCAGCAAGAATGTTCCATATCTCTTCCAAAACGGATCCAGGATTTATTTCTAACCTGTTTTACATTTTTTATTTAATTACAGTAATGCTGTAACGAATGCCTTCAATAAGTTATCCAATTTGTGTATAGCTGCCATTGACTTAAAGTTATAAATAACGACTTTTATGCAATCAAAATGATTATCATATAACCTTCAGGATCACTATTAAACTAAGTTTTAAATACCCAAGAAACACATTAATTTAAATCACATTTACTAGCCATCTTAAAATGTCTGAAAGAAATTATTTTATTTTCAGATGATCTAAAATATACCCACTATAAAAAATACATCTATTATTTGTCTAAACTAACTGGTTAAATATTTAAAAAAAATGTTTTCCTGAGATGAATTTGAGAAAATAATTTTATGATATGTGTTCAAAGTGTAGTAAATACACACAGCAACTACAGAACCTTCATAAATGAATACAAGCCATGTGGCCACCGAGCTTGGCAACTCAATATTGCACGATTGGTACAATCAACTAAAGATCCCTAAATTATTAGTGTTATCAATATTAATAATGTGTTTACAATGCACAGCGACAAATCATTGTATCTATACTCGAGATAATGCAACCGCCAATTGGTCGCATAAAATGCCGTGAAAAATGACACCAATCACTAGTCGGTGAAACAGAATGTTGTGTTTTAATGTAATCTTGGTCTTACTCTTAATAATTTTTAATTTTACCGAAATTTAATTAGCAATGTGAAGATAATAAAATTACTGTTCCAAACAAAATTACCGGTTACGTGACTTGTAATCATTTATGAAGGTTTTGTAAAACTTGCAGAATTTTATGCAGACATACAAAATATACATATAACAGTCAACCAACTGACGTAACCAATTTTTCAATCATTTAGTTTGAATTGTTTATTTTTTATTTTTTTTTTAGGCACATCAAATCAAACAAGAATAGGTAACACTGTGCTAGTGAAGCTGCCAAACGGTCAGACAAAGCCCATGACAAGATTGCCGAAAAGATCATTTGAATTGATGAGGGTACCAAAAAATACTACTCCTCCACCAATGGGGGTTCCTAAACCTAATCGCAGTGTTCTTGCTGGGAAGAAGGGTGGAGCTGATCTGACACCTTCAGTTAGCATAGCTCCTGTCTCTAAAAAACTTATGCCTCCCATTCCACAACGACAAAGTGATAGTGACAGTGAAAGTGAAGATCGTAAACCCTTATTATCCCCACCATGTCAAACACCTAAGTGTAAGTAATTTTTGTTACATCCATTGTTTAAATAATAGTGAAATAAATTACTTATTTTAAAATTAAGTGCAAATGCTGTGGCCGGTTTAAAAAAAAAATAATAGTCCAGTTGGTAGAGGTTCGGCCTGTGTCAAACCTTGATAACCCTGAAATAACTACACAGGCCTACTTTAAATGATGTGTACAATAACAGGCTAATTTGCTGACAAAGTATTTTATCAGGAAAAAAAGTTAATAACAATTTAATCGTGAAAAATTTTTTTTTAGTAGTTTTCTTTAAATAACTCAGCGGGATGACTGTACAAAAAAATGCTTAGGACATCATTTTGTTCGTAATAAAAATAGCTACAAAATGGCGGTGGTCCGATTACGAAATTTGCGGTGAGATTGAAATCAACAACAAAGCGGTGAGATTGAAATTGATTAAAAAAACGGTGACGTATAAAACTAGGGTCACGTATAAAACCTTACCAAAACTGCAAAAATGAAGATAATTGAATTTTGCAAATTGCTTTTGGTTTCTGCATATTTACACTATGTATATACCAAATTTCAAGTGTCGGCAAAACTTCCAACAAATTTGGCAAAGTTTCGAGTTTCAGATGCCGATGAATGTATAACACCTTATAGAACAAAAAGTTTTGCTCTCCTGATTTTTTGCTTTAGCGTCATTATTGTATATATATATATATTGAACTATAATTTTCGAAAGTTTTATCACTTTTTGTTTATAATTGACATTTTTACAGCAACTTTAAAAAATTGACGTTTTATACCGTTTTTTCAATCTCACGGCTTTGTTATTGCAAATTTCGTAATCGGACCACCGCTATTTTGTAGCTATTTTTATTACGAACAAAATCATATTCTAAGCATTTTTTCGTACAAAGTCATCCCGCTGTTATTTAAAGAAAACTACTAAAAAAAAAAATTTTCACGATTAAATTGTTATTAACTTTCTTTCCTGATAAAATACTTTGTCAGCAAATTAGCCTGTTATTGTACTCAATATTTAAAGTATTCTTGTGTAGTTATTTCCGAGTTATCAAGAAAATGTCACCAACGGTAACTTTTCGGCCTCTGCCGACTGGACTATAAGATAATGTGGACATTATTTAATATTTAAAAAGCACGGTTGCCACAGATATAGAAAACTGTGAAAGATAGGAAATGCCAAAGAAATAGGGAATACAGGGAAAGGTTAGGGAAATTAACTTTTTCGAGCTCTGCCAAAAGAGGAGAAGCACTTTATAATAACTGACCAAAAAAAAGTGTCATGAGGAAAAATTTTATTAAATATAAATTTATTCTGATAAGCGTCGACATTGCTCTTCATCGTTAAGCGCTCTAATAAATGTTAATCTGAGCTGCCATCTTGTGAAGTTTACTGGATCATAAAAAAAATATAAAAAATGATTGGCTATGGCTAAATGAGGAGATATTTAAAAATTATGATAACCAACCAGAGAATTTGTGTTTTAATATGCTTATCACATTTACAACTTCATGGAAGAACATCTTGAATGTTTTTTTTATTTTTTTTTTATTTCTTTGTATCCAGGAAAAAAGGTAAAGACCAAAGTTTCATTAAATTTTCTTGTGATGCAATGTGATAAACGTACAAAAAAAACAATTGACTTGCATTTCAAAGATATAAAAAAAATTTTTTAATGGGACACCCGGTATGATTGTCGTTTTTTAGAAATGTTCCATTTTCTAAATGCACTGATATACAGGGTGTAACTAAATAAGTGTAAAACATTTAAGGGGGTGATTCCTCATCGAAAAAAAGATAAAACTTCATTGGAGCATCCCTTGTTAAGATACAGCCCCTTAAAGGGGGTACATAAAATTTGTTTAACAATTTTTTTCACAAGCACTAAACAAGTTACAATATTGAAATTAACCTGACATTTTCTACTACCAAAAAGACACTTAGCCAGTAATTTATTTGGTGGAAAACGCAACCCCTAAAATTTATTTCCAACGTAACTTTTTGTCTTATTATTTGTTTACCATTTAAAAATTTATTTCCGATAGCTTGTTTCATTCTAAAAAAAAAATGTCTTGAATTTTTTGCCCAAAATAAACCAGTTCGCAGCAAAAAATTATTTTACGAACAACTACAGAGATACATCGTCATAAATCACCCCCTTAAATGTTTTACACTTATTTAGTTACACCCTGTATAAACGTTATATATTTGCTTTGACAGTTTGCACAACATTTTTGGTGTATTTACTGACCCTTCGCTAAGTATTGAATTTACTAATAATAAAATATACAGGGTGGTCCCGAGGTAATGGGCCAAAATTCATGGGTAGATTCCCGAAGCAAAAATATTGTGATTTAGCCGAACTTACCTTAGTCTAAAAGTTGATAACTAAAGAGATACAGGGTGTTAAATGTAAAATATTATTTCAGTTTTTTTTAATTTATTCCTTAACAAATGTAAATATCCTCACAAAATTTTGGGGATTGGAGTTCTTTGAGTAGAGGAATTGAAATCTGTACACATTTTGGTTAAAGGTCATAGAGGGCGCTAGCTGCAGTAGATTGAATGTGTTAAAAATGACATAACTTTTTTGTACTTTAAGGTGTCTCATCTTTGGTAACAAATTCTTATTTCTCAACTTTTTGTACACAAAAAAGGGTATACTTTATTAATGTAGCTATCTTGCACCGTTTTCGAGATATTTGGCTTTGAAACTTCCAATGATGTTGCATTAAAATTACAATTAAGTACCTACAGGCATTATTAATTTAGCGGTAAAGTTTCGTAAGTAGAATTTAGACGAAAATCAAATAATTGACGTCTTCCACTTGTCTTATTGCTGTCATTTGTATGCTAATTTCTATTAAATATTATTCCTATCTAATTAAAATTGTATCTTAGCTTACAGTTTAAATTGTATACTCGTATACATAAATGTGAGATAGAATGCCGAGATTTTAATTTTTGGAGTTGCATGAAATCAGTTGTTTACGGAGAAACTATAAACATTTGAGAAGAATTTTAGCAGCAGGTTTTAAATGCTGGAAAGTCATTTTGCTTTAAGGATTTATACTTTAAAATAAGACAATCTTTTAATAAATGCGTTGATAAATGTATTGAAGTTAAAGGTGGACATTTTGAGCAATTATTGGCAAAAAGGCATTTTTTTACTAATATTTACTATTTTACTGTTCATTGCAATTTTTAATTTTAAATAAACCCTTGTTTTTGACATTTCTAAATTATTTGAATTATTTCAACTATTAGCATTGGAAGTTTCAAAGCCAAATATCTCGGAAACGGTGCGAGCCAGCTACTTTCATAAAGTCTACCTTTTTTGTGTAAAAAAAGTTGGAAAATAAGAATTTGATACCAAAGATAAGATACATTAAAGTACAAAAAACATGTCGTTTCCAACACATTCAATCTATGGCAGCTGGCGCCCTCTATGAACTATAACCAAAATGTGAACAAATTTCAATTTCTCTACCCAAAGATCACCAAACCCCAAAATTTTGTGTAGATTTTGCATTTATTAAGAAATAAATGGAAATAAACTAAAATAATATTTTACTGTTTATTTAACTATCAACTTTTGAACTAAGGTAAGTTCGGTTAAATCGCAATATTTTTGCTTTGGCAATCTACCCATGAATTTTGGCCCATTACCTCGGGACCACCCTGTATATTTAAAAATAAAGAAGTTTAGTATAGGGGCAAATATTGGTTAGGTAAAAAAATAATTCACATTAATCTAGTCATATTGTCAACACTTTTGACATCGTTATTTCAATTTTTTTTTGTTCTAAAAGTTTTATTTTAGCCTGATTTTGAACAACAAAATTTTTTATGCAATATGTGTGTATATTTGTCGCATGCAATATTTTCCAGATATTTTAACTTGTAATACACAATCGTAAGGTTTACTATGAGTATTACATATTAAAATATCAGAAAAATATTTCTTGTAACAAATAAATATGAACACAAATTTTGTGTACAATTTTTTTTTTCATGTAAAACAGCTCTTATAATTTTGCCCTAATAATACTCATTAATTCCATTTGTAAAGGTAATCGTTAAATGTAGAAATGGCAAAAACTTATGACTTCTTGCCTGTTGGTTTTTGTCAAACTACATTCTTTAATCATTTTAATATGTCAGCTATGTGTTTTTGTATTAATAATAGAATATATGTTTTAAAAATATACAGGGTGTCATGTGACTCGCCATAGCTTAAGTATTCCTTGAACAATTTTAAGTCGAAAGTTATACACTTTGTCCAAAACTCAATAGTTAAGGAGTTGTGGGTAATATTAAATTTAACAGTAAATAAATCTAGTAACGTAAAGAGCATGTTGAATAAAGTAATGTATTGTTTTATTAATTACGGATTTTTTTATTGCTAAGAAATTTAATTAAAGGTTTGGTTGAAAATGTCCCCCCCCCACTGCCTCACAACACATTATTGCTCTTATAATAATAATTAAAGACTTAGCTCTCTGAAGAGCATCTGGGTCTTTTCGTATTAATGCAAGTGCAGCCATAATATTTTGAATTAACTCTTCTCTGGTTTGTGGTTGATTTGAATACACTAAACTTTTGTCCCGAAAGACAATAGTCAAGAGGCGTTAGGTCTGGCGACCTCGGAGGCGAGAGAACTGGACCTCCTCTTCCAATAGCAAAGTTGTTACTTAGATATTCACATTTACACCAAAATGCGGTGGTGCGCCATTGTGCTGAACCCGCATGTTAACTATTCTGAAGTTAACAAATTCTTGAACATATTATATGTGGTATGGGTACAAATTAAAATTGTGTAATGTTCTCCACACTTTCATTCGACTAACATGAACACGATTAGATATTCTTCGTATACTAGTAGAGGGACTATTTTCGATCATGTTAAGAATAGCTTCTTCTTCGGCAAATTCTTGCTGCACAGGACGTTCTACAGTAGCTTTAGGAAACATATGTGTTTCTGTCAACTGACGATGCACATTTATGAACACTTGCTTATTACATATTCTTCGATCAGGAAACCTCCACTGATATTCCTGCACCGACGCGCTCGCAATTCTGTCACAGGCCATCGAGTCAGGGGATGCCCTGTATATATTTTTAAATATCTAAGAAACTAAAATAACGTTTTTGAAATTACTAAAAAAATAATGATCTATTGTAACAGTCCATTTTGATTTAAATTAAACATAAAATCATGTGTAGGTATGTCCAACTTCAAATGAAATACTTTTTATTAATTTGTTCGTTAATTTTAACCCACAATTTTATTTGAGTAAAAAGTAATTTTAAGTTACAAAAAATAATTTTAAAAAACTTTAAAATATCCTAATTTATAACGACAATTTGAAAGAAAAAGTATTTTTTTTTTTACAGCAAAACCACCTGTACCTACCATAGACATATCATCAGACGACGACTGCATAGTTGTATCTGAACCTGAAGGGGAGGATGAGGAACCAGATCATGACGACCCTGGAAATTCCGGCATGCACACCAATGATGAGTTTAACCAGCCTGACGAACAAGGCCGTGTATTAGTAAACGTTGGCCATCCCGATGATGAACCAGACATATTTGTCGCACCGCAAATATCCAGAATAATAAAACCGCATCAAATTGGCGGAGTGAGGTTCCTATACGATAACGTGGTGGAAAGCACAAACCGTTTTGAGAGTTCGTCGGGTTTCGGGTGTATCCTTGCACATTCTATGGGGCTCGGTAAGACGCTGCAAATCGTGACATTCTCGGATATTTTCCTACGGCACACCCCGGCTAAGACTATATTATGCATTATGCCAATCAACACACTCCAGAATTGGATGGCCGAGTATAATATGTGGCTTCCTACAGGGGAAAGTATCAACAATAGCCCATTAAACGCACACGGGGTCATAAGACCAAGAAATTTTAATCTTCACGTTTTGAACGACAGTCATAAAACTCTTATAGCGAGGGCTAAGGTTATACACGAGTGGAGGAGCAAAGGAGGGGTGCTTTTGATTGGGTATGAACAGTTTCGGTTGTTGAGTTTGAGAAAGTTCCCCAAGTCGAGAAAGAAACCAAATCCTGTAGATCCACTTCCTGATGATGATAAGAATAAAATGCTTTTCGATGGTAAGTTACTTCCATATACATTACTTTAATTATTTGCAGAAACAAACAAGAGATTAAGCTGTTTTTGCTCGATTTGTATGGAAAATGAGTGAGTCATAATTTTGAATAATATGGACACGATTTGATTTATTTTCCATCGTTATTGTATTTGTATTTTTATTTTTTCATTATTGTATTTTATGACGGTCTGGCGAAGGTTTCTGTAACCTGTAAGGTAATTGAAGAATACATTTTGTCAAAGTATCCAGAATTTGTCATTTAAGGGGTTACACCACTGTAATGGCCTAAAAAAATGTGTTTTTGACAATTTTTTTTAATAGAAGGATAGGTAATAGGAAAAAAACTGTTAAGTATGTTATTAAGCATGTAAGTGTACAGAAAATTTTTTTCTCTAAAAAATATTTCAGAATAACGTCACTGAAGCCATTCTTCTGAAGCATGTTGCTGTCAAGGCGTTCCGTGGCACGCACTAGAACTAGTGCAAATTTCAAGGTGAAACAAAAAAAAATTGCTCTTAATCGACATGAGTATGGCTAGAGAAACATGTACGGGATTGTAAAAATATTGTTTTTTGTAAAATTGGCAAGTGTTTGAAGTAAAACGTTAAATTTTTGACGAAAAAAGGCAGTTATTATTTGTTTATAACAATTGTTTAAATTAACTTATCGAAAAATCCGTATGTGTTTCTCTTCAAAATATTGTTTTAAATATGTGGTTAAAATTTCAAAAGAACATTTTAAAAATTGTTGGAGTTATGGTGCGTGCCGTTTTGAAAAAAACATTTGTCGAGAAAAACGCTTTAAAGTTTTAAAATGAGTTTTAGACATGAACGTGCACTGACGTTACACTAACATACTTTTGTTTGAAAATTTTGCTTGAATTGTACCCGCATAATCCCTAAGGACATCTATGATTGTATTAGAGAAGTTATAAATCAGTAGTTAAGAAGGTACGCGGTACCTTCCGAGCGAATATGTTCATAGCGCAAGTAGATGTATGAGAGACGCCCGACACGCTTCAGAAAACGCGCAAAATTAAAAAAAAAATTCATGTATAATACCTTTTGCCTCATATTCTAGAAAGTTCAAAGTACCTTTTTAAAAAAAAAAAAAACGATTTCTTGAAAATTCTACAGTAAAAATTCCATGTAAAGTAGATTTAAATTGCTTTTTTGATGGAAAGTTGGTAGCACTGTACTCTACTGACGCGAAGTCTGAGTGCTGTCTATGAAGTGTATACGAGGAGTGAAGACTTCGTGTTAAAAAAAGTTAGCCTTTTCTTGGGTCACGTAAAGGTTGCACTGATGTAAGTAAGTAGAGTATGCAAGAGATACGTGACGTTGTAAGCGCACGTAAGTGCAACTTCATTACTAGACTCCAGTGCATCAGCACTACTACGGCGACTCCTTTTACTTTAATTTGGGTCGTAAAACGGGATCCGAATTTGTATACGCGGCCCATAAGACTCTTCACTCCTTGTCTACACTCCATAGCGCGGTCTGTCAAGTACTTGGTTTTCAGCTGTTAACTTTATTACTCCACCTAAAGTGTGTTCTGCGATTTTTACTATGGATACTGTTATTAACAAACAATTTGCCTAAAATTTTGTGGTATCAACGGAATTTCTTGTGCTACATTGTTAAAAATGTTGAGAAAGATGTGTGGTAATTTAGTTATATTGAAAAGTCAAGCATATTAATGGTAGAAAGCATTCAAACATGGTCAAGAAGTGATTAATGATTTGTCGCGTTCTGGTCGTCATTCAACGTCTTCAACTTGAGGAAATATCGATAGTGATAAAATGCTTGCAGACCATCATTATAGTTTGAGACAGCTAGAATATGAACTAAACATAAATATCTCACGAATCAGTTCGGACCATTTTAGTTGCTGTTTTGGGTATGTCGCAGCACGACTGGTTCCAATAGAGCTGAATTTACTTCAAAAAGAGGATAGCAAAGATGTTGCGGAAGACATGATTGAAGGGGATAATTAGGACTCTACATTCATGTAACACATCATAATGAGTGGCGAGACATGGGTTTATGAGTTTGACATGCAATCGTGCCAACAAAACCAAAAAAATCACATCAAAGTCGATCAAACATCAAAGTCATGTTGACTGTTTTTTTTGACTATCGTGGTGTTGTCCAGACAGAATTCCTTCTGAATGGAGAAAGATACAACAAGGAATATTATCTGGGCATAATGAGAAATTTGATAAAGTGTATCTGCAGCGAAAGACCAAATTTATGGAAGGACCATTCTTGGATTTTGCACCATAATAATGCACCATCATCATACGAGATCCGACTGCGAGATTACTACGTTCATCTGTTTTTTAATGGAAATACAATTTTCATAGATAATTATGAATAGAGGAATATGTTTCTGCCGGGTTGCCTATCAAAATATGGCCACAAGTATTATCAATTAAAATTAAATTAATTAATTTTTTCCAAACAATTTCGTTCATTTGTTTTTAAGATAAATTATAATTCATTTCACAGAGAGATATGTGAAGAACTAAAAAAGGTTGGTAAATGTAAAATTTTTCAAAAAAAGTCTGGCCTGCCCGTGTTTCAAACCGAGGATCCTCGGCTTCACAGTAGCGAGTTTTCAAATTGAGCTACGGTGGCCTACCGGTGGGTGGAGCCTTTACGGGCTATTTGAAACTTTGGAAAATTTAAAATGTTCAAATTAAGATTTATCGCTATAATATCGTCTCTAAACTGGCACGTAACGCCAAAATAACGACTCACCGTGATCCAGGAGTTGAAATCCATCTGGAACATTCGTTTAAAAAGTGTTTTGACAACTGGGTTATGTGTTGGAAAAAGTGTAATGCTTCAAAAAAATGTTAATGATTAATTAAATATATTGTGTTTTATTGACAAATTCCGGACACATTTATGACAGAATGTACTTCAAAAAATAAGTAATTTTGAATTAATGTTAAGGTGTCACTTTAGCCATTGTTATCCAACAAGTTTAAAAATTTAGTTTCTTTTATATAGGTGTAATTATAGAACACATAATCAAAATTTAGAATTGTTTCTAATTCCGATTTTTATTTATTTTTGCCAAATTCTAAATTTCAGAATAGTTCAAAATTAATCTTAACAATAAAAAACACTTTTTGTCAGCTAAAAATAACACATCAATCATTAAACATTTACGAAATACATAAATGCTCTCCTTTTGGATACTTGTTAAAATTACAAAAATTTTAAATATTTTAAACTTGGTAAAGTAAGGTGAGAGGGAGGTTAGGTAAATACGTTAAAGTGCAGCAATGCAGGTAATGCCGTATTACAATTTTTGTATGTTTTCTAATTCATTGTTTTATGCAATAAATTTTTTTATAAATATTTTCTGAATATTAAAAAAATTTTAAAAAGAAAACTGTAGACTCATTTAGATAAAAAACATATGTGGGACATGCCCATTACAAGTACTAAAAAAAGCAGATGATAGTACTACTAAAAAAAAATATAATAAAAGTGTTGTTATTCACATTTCCCTAAAATTCTTGTTAAGGTGAGTGATTCATTTAATGTGGTCAATATAATTATAAAAATATCAGAACACTTGTGACAATCATGTGATAAAAAAAATTAATTTGATGTAATTTGCATGAAAGATGATCAGCATAAAAGTAAATAGTTAAAACTGACAGTGAAGAAAAATGAATGCTATCCTGTAACGTATTTATGTCAAACGTAAGCTCTTAGTTTGTATTAATGAGCTTATTATGAATTATTTGTACCATTTTATAAGGGCGGATTCGTATGAATTCATATCTGCCTAAGGAAGGCAGCATATTAAAGAATTATTCAGAAATTGTTCCCATTCCTCAATTTTTCCATTACGCATTCCAAACAAAATAAACAGAATTTTACAAAAGGACCCCGCACAAACCTTATGTGAAATTCCGTTCGGTCGATTTTAATGAAATTTTGGGAATAGGTTGTTTTTGTTATGAGGAACAAAAGTCTTCATGGGCCCAAAGTTCGCTAATGAACAGTTTTCGAGATATTCGATGTTAAAAGTTGATAATGCAAATACCTATCAAGTACGTGTTTAAATGCGTAAAAGCTCCATGAAGCTTCTTAAAAACTGTATAATACGTATATATTCGTCTAGATAGTGCGTATTAATTCGTTTGTGTGTGTGTGTTAACTTAACTTAACCATTCTTCTTGATCAATTATATTTTTTATTTCAGTTATTAGCGTATGATTGAAAACAATCTAATGATTGTATCCCAAGTAACACCCAAGATAGAGTAGTCGAAACAACTTTAGGATACAGTTTCTCGCGTGTTTTTAAATCAGTATTTCAAAATATATATCGAAAAATAGGGTGTTTTTAAATATACTTATTCTATTAGAAAAAAATCTTCTTTATTTAACATCGTAGTTTAGATATCCAACTGTGAGTAATCTATCGATATGGATAGCAGAGAATATTTTAATGTGAAGATATTAGAAATAATATACTATTATTTATGAGTACCTCAAATATTTAGAATGTTGAAAAATATCAGTTTCGTTGGACTTATTGTCAAATAGTTCTTACTTGATATTACTGTTCAATTACCATTCACTTGCAGTTTTTGGTGTTATACTCTCGATATTGCTTTGGTCATTTTTTCATAGGTGTGTTCATTTTATAATTAGCAGTTCAGCTTGTTGCAATATAAATGGCTTTCAGATTACAAATACAACGTTATAGTTGCGATCGGGATATGGTACATTTAAATAGAGTGGTAAATGTAGATGTTTTTGGAGATATTGCTATAGCTATATCTCCAAAAACATCTACATTTACCATTACCATTCTATTTAAATGTACCATATTTCGCGGGGCGAAAGCCCGATCGCAACTATAACATTGTATTTGTAGTCTGAAAGCCATTTATATTGCAACAAGCTCAACTGCTAATTACAAAATGAACACACCTGTGAAAAAATGACCAAAGCAATATCGGGAGTATAACACAGCAAAAACTGCAAGTGAATGGTAAGTGAACAGTAATATCGATTAAGAACTATTTGACAATAAGTCCAACGAAACTGATATTTTTCAACATTCTAAATATTTGACGTACTCATAAATAATAGTATAATATTTCTTCACATAAAATATTCTCTGCTATCGATATCGATAGATTTCTCACAGTTGGATATCTAAACTACGCTGTTAACTAAAGAAGAATATTTTTTTGTAACAGAATAAGTAGGTATATTTAAAAACACGCTATTTTTCGATATATAGTTTAAAATACTGATGAAAACATGCGAGAAACTGTATCCTAAAGTTGTTTCGACTACTCTATCTTGGGTGTTACTCTGGAGTTACTTTGGATACAATCATACGCTAATAACTCAGATAAAATATATAATTGATCGAGAAGAACGGCTAAGTGTGCTGACCAGATTGCAAGTGAATATAGAAGTATTACTATAGCATTACTCCGAGCCTCTTCGTTTATTTGTTTATGAAAAGTATACACATACACACACGCACGCACGCACGCACACGCACACAAGCACACACAAACGAATGGATACGCACTATCTAGACGAATATATACGTATTATACAGTTTTTAAGCTTCATGGAGCTTTTACGCGACTAATAAGCATTTAAACACGTGCTTGACACGCATTCGCATTATCAACTTTTAACATCGAATATCTGGGAAACTGTCCATTAGCGAACTTTGGGACCATGAAGACTTGTTCCTCATAACAAAAACAACCTATTCCCAAAATTTCATTAAAATTGACCGAACGGAGTTTCCCATAAGGTTTGTGCGGGGTCCTTTATAGTTTTATATTAAATCTACTAAATAAAATTAGTAGAAGCTGTTTTTTTAAAGATTAATGCAGTTTCCAAAAATTTGTATGTAAAAGATAATATTTTTTATTAAATAATTTTTATCTTATGAACTACTGCAAATAAGTTCATAGATTTTAATGTAACTTTTTTTATATATTATAACAGATGTTCGGATGACCCACCCTGCAGTGGTTAATGGTGACGTGATGCTTGAGGGAGAAGAGCCAGTTGGATCAGTTAATAAAGAACCACCGGCGAGTTGCTCCACGTTGGGCGCCAAATATGCCGTTAGCATGATCTTCATTTGATTTGGGTTTCAAAGTTACAAGTCAAGTTCTTTAACAATTGGCTCTTCTCCCTTTAGCATCGCGTCGCCCTTAATGACTGCGCCGTCGGTTATCCGAACATTTGTTATAATATCTATCCATTTATTCTTTTTTTCTCAATAAAACAAGTTGTAATTAGTAATTAATGTATTGCAATGTAATGCATATAAGAAGCATTAGAAGAATTTGAAGGGGACTAATGTGTCATTTTAAGAAATATTTATGTATAATTTTCTGCTTACTAAAGTCGGAATTAATGCTTAGATAAATGTGAAGTAATAAATAGTCAGTATTCCTTGATAAATAAATATATGAAATCCCAAGAGCAATATGGAATTTTTACATGTAAGCAGTTATTAAAATAATAATAATAAATATGTTTCACTTTAGTAAGATAAAGAATAAAGGGCTGCTTAAAATTCAAATTATATATTTTTATTCAGGATTATGTATAGGGTTTTGATTGATATTGGAATAACATGATAGAGGATTTGTAATAAAAGAGAAAAAAAACTGTTTCCTATAAAAGTTTTGGGCTTTTCCCATACTATTTTTTCTTATTAAAATAAATGAAAGAAAAGAAGTGCACAAATAAAGTAAATTTTTATTAAGAGAGATAGAACTAAAATAATATGCCATAAACATAATGGGTCAGATTAAAAGCATCATAAAAAAAATATGTTATCACTTATTTTTTGAAAACGCAGTTATGTAATTAAATCGCCCAAATAGATACTATTATCAGCAGTCTATCAACTTAGCCTTTTAAGAAAACTATTTAAAACTTCTACTTTGCTCCACATTCAAAAATAAAATTTAAATATGTCAATATTTGAATGCCTATATTTCATAATTATGTCTGTGTTTAATTTGTTAATTTTACATAATGAAATTTCTTATCACAGAGGTACACGCTGCTCTGGTAAAGCCGGGTCCTGATTTGGTAATATGCGATGAAGGCCATCGAATCAAAAACTCTCATGCTTCTATATCTCAAGCCTTAAAACAGATGGAAACCAAAAGACGTGTCGTTTTAACCGGCTATCCTTTACAAAACAATTTAATGGAATATTGGTGTATGGTAGATTTCGTACGGCCAAACTATCTAGGATCCAAAACCGAGTTTTGTAACATGTTTGAACGGCCGATTATGAATGGGCAGTGCATAGATTCGACAGAAGCTGATATTAAACTGATGCGTTATAGAGCTCACGTTTTACACTCTCTCTTATTAGGTTTCGTACAAAGACGTTCGCACATTGTTTTACAAACAGCTTTACCTCAAAAGGAAGAATATGTTCTGTTAGTTAGAATGAAACCATTCCAAAGAACTTTGTATGAAACATTTATGAATGAAGTAGTTAGGATACAAGCTGTGCCTAACCCACTTAAAGCATTTGCGGTGTGTTGTAAAATTTGGAATCATCCCGATGTGCTCTACAATTTCCTTAAAAAACGTGCTGGTGGTGACGCTGTTGACATTGACCTTGAAGAAGTAGGTGGAGCAGTGTCTAAAACTCCAAATGAAAAGCCTAAAAAGGCGTCGTCTCGCCCAAGGAAAACACCTGCTAAGGGAAAAAATGGAAAACCTGCCGCCTCTGTCACGCCCTACAATACATTGACAGATCCACAACAAATGCAGCCTCCATTATCTGAAAATACCCCTGCAAGTAGTACATCAGTTGCTATCAATCATTCGTCACCAGTAACTTCATTTAGCAATACAATTTCATCCCAAGGTCCAAGAAATAACATTCAAAGCAATTTCAACCAAAGCTCTAATGATTTCCAAGGAATCTCTCAAAGTTTTCCTGAAACGATCCCACAGCCATATTACGACCAGGAATTTGATCAAAATGCTCAATTCCCATCTCATTTCCCAAACACTAACAGCGACTATCCTCAGTCGTATCCAAACACACCTAATTCAAGTACAAATTACAATAATGCACCCCTTAATGAAAATAATTTTAATTTAGGAGAACAGAATAAATCTCAGACTCCGAGCCAAAACAATTTTATAAATCTAGATTCTCAAACAACTTTGACGCCACTAAATAATTCGACCCAGAATTCAAATACTTTCGCAAACCTTTCATCTGAAATATCACTAACTCCTTTAAATTATAAGCCTCGGGACAGTCAGTTGACCTCTTTAAACACTGCGAGCACTTCCTTGACACCTCTAAATAATAGTACATCTTTGACTCCTCTAAATTCTACAAGCAGCAATGCTCTGACATCTCTTCAAAATATGCAACCAAACTCTGGAAATTATATGGAAATCGGCACATCTCAACCCAATCCAAACACTGGAAACAATTACAACCAAAGTAATCAATATGGCACCGCTCAAAACCAAGAGAATAACTATCCCACGCCTCCTCAAAGTATTGGTAGTCAAAATCAAAATTATCAGAATAACTATCAGGACTACCAACAGCAGAATTATTGGGGCCAACAGCAGACTCCAGAGAACAGCAATTTCAATCAGCAACAGAATAATTATTTCGGTCCTCCACATCACCCCTTTAACCCTTCTACCATAAACAATAGTAATACCAATAATTCATGGATAAAAAAAGAAGATTCCAAAATTCACCTACCGAATCTCCTAATCAGTCCAAAAAGTGAAAGTAGCAATGAATCTAAACCTAAGATAAAAATTTTAAGTGATATCAAGTTACCCTCGGTGTTCAATGGTCCCTCAGAGAAAAAAATTAAAATTATCAGTGATATAAAAATAGAACCCAAGATAGAAGAGATTGATGAAGCGTTTGATATGAAACCTGACGGAACAATGAAGTTTGATATTAAATCTGAAATAAAACTTGAGGATGATATAAAACCTTTGCAAGAACCTCCTCTCTCCAAGTTGATGCCCCTCAAGGATTCAAAAGAAGATAGCGGGATTCCTTATGACTGGGTTAGTATTTTGTATTTCATTGCATATTCACTTTACAAATTGTTGAGTTTAATAATTAATTCAATCATTATTTTCTTTTATTATAAGGTTTTGTACCGTTTTTAGGCCATTGAGTTATTGAAAGATTACAAACCTGGTTGCATCGAGAACTCAGCAAAAATGGAGATACTATTCTGTATAATACGAGAAAGTATAGCATTAGGAGATAGACTGTTAGTTTTCAGCCAGTCCTTGATTACTTTAGACTTAATTGAGCAGTTCCTTCAGATGAATCAAGTCCCTGGAGACACAGTGAATTGGGCCAAGAATGTTAGCTATTATCGTAAGTCTTTAAAAATATTCTATCTACATGATTTTCGAGTAGTTTTTTTTAATATTAGCAGTCACTTATTTTAATAACTTATAACTATACCTCAGGTACCGTGTGTGATGTGATTTAAATAACAGTTGGTTTATATCGATCCGATCTACATTACTAATTTACTCTAAATTTGACTCAAATTTTGACAATTAAGAGGTTTTAAAAAGGAGAAAGGAAATCGTAAAAATTTCCATGCTTCTGTAGCTCAAATAAAACTTATGGGATGTTTCACGTCAAGCGGATCACCGACCTGGACAAAAATTGCGTGGAACGATCGAGACGTATAAGGGCTCAAAATGTTCTTCTAGTAAGAGGCTTTCAAACACAGAGTGGTACTTTTCAAAGATCCAAAATGGCGGACCCAATACGGCGGCCGGAAGTTGGAGAAAGCCTGAGTGTACTGCAAAAAAGGGTTGTGAAAAAAAAACTTCGCAGCCAATCGGGTCATTTTTTGGCTCAAATTGTAGCTGAGGGACATCTTTTAAAAGCCCGTGTGGTTGGATGGAAAAATCCAAAATGGCGGATCCAACATGGCGGTCAAACACTGATTTGGTGACAGAATTTTTGAAAATCAACTGATTTACACACTTGGTATACAGGAGTTTTTGAGATCGCTTATTACGAATCCGAGGTCAGATTTGCAAAATTCAAGATGGCGGATCCATGATGGCGGACACAATTTCGTAAAATCAAACGATTACCACCAAATTTGGTATATGGGGATTTTGGGGGTCGCTCATCATGTATCTTAGGTTGAATTTGCAAAATTTGAGATGACGGATTCAATATGTCGAAAGGTTTTATCTGCCATACTGGATTTGTCATTTTTTAACGACATCCGAAAACCCCCCAAATACCAAATTTGGTGTAAATCGGTTGATTTTCCGAAATTTCGTCCGCCATCTTGAATTTTGCAAATCTGACCTCGGATTCGTAATCAGCGACCTCAAAAACCCCCGTATACCAAGTTTGGTGTAAATCGGTAAATTTTTTAAAATTCAGTTACCAAATCGGTCTTTTGACCGCCATTTCGGATTTTTTCATTCAACCACACCAGCTGTTAAGAGGTGTCCCTCAGCTACAATTTAAGCTAAAAAATGACCCGATTAGTTGCGAATTTTTTTTTCACAACCCTTTTCTGCCATACACAGGTTTTCTCCAGCCTCCGGAAACCATATTGGGTCCGCCATTTTGGATTTTTGAAAAATACCACTCTGCGTTTGACAGCCTCTTACTAGACGAACATTTTGAGCCCTTACACGTCTCGATCGTTCCATGCAATTTTTGTCCAGGTCGGTGATTCGCTTGACATGAAACATCCCATATATATTTTTGATAGTAGATAATATTAATGTACAACAGTTTTGACAAAATTATAAAATGAAAATTTAGTACAGATAATGAAATATTTTTATTTGTAGAAAAGCAAAATTTACAGAAATTGAATAATGGTCGCTAACCGCTAACTTTTCTAGAAACTCAGAAAACAAACAATCCCGTTTTTTTAAAAAAATATATATTGTTTATACAGTCTAGCTATTAAGTTTTTATTGTGGCGAAGTGCGTGGCCCTATCTATATTCGGCCAACGGAACTACATAGTGGGAAGCATTCCGAGCGACCAAACATCAGTATACGTGTATCTACCATGAAGTTATAACGTTTTGTAGCCTACAGTAATCAAGTTCTGTTTTAAAGCTGGTAAAACAACCATGGAAACGTATTAACTGTTACAAATGGCATATGGTGAGGCGTGTGTTTCACGTCTGACTGAGACGTTGAGCCACAGAGCATGTGCGGTTTTCTTCCGCGGGAGTAAATGTAGCCTACCAATTTAGATTCCTCATGAAGGCGGCATGAATGTTTGTGATATACTTTGTAAAATTTGGTAGCTTAGTGGCGTTATGACCTCACAAAGATGGCCGCCAGACGAAAATCGTAGTTTAGGTACCATTCTAAACTCTGGTTTCATTTGTAAGGAGTAAAAGTATCATAATAATTTTGATTTAGCATAAAGCCAGGATCAATGTTTGGGGTGATACTGTGTAAAAGTCGGTAGCTTAGTTACGTTACGATCGTCACAAATGTGGCCGCCTGGCAAAAATCGTAGTATACCATTCTAAGGTCAGGTTTTACTTGTAAGGAGTAAAAGTATAGTACAAATGTCAATCCAACATAAAGCCAGAATCAATGTTTGGGATGATAATTTGTAAGATTCCGTAGCTTAGTAACGTTATGATGTCACAAACATGGTTGCCGCCAAATTCCGTTTAGGTGTATTGGCAAACATTATAATAATAAAATATGGTGTCTCAAAAGATAAATCGGAGCTTTTCAAATTTCTGACACAGGAGTGGCAACAACCAAAATACACTCACCATGTTTGTGATGTGTGAAGATCGCTGCTACCAATTAACGTCAAGTAACGCAACAGAAGTGCCACCATTGGAATGTTCTCACGAAGAAGGAGACACACGCATATTGCTCCATGCACATCATGCAGCTAAATCTGGATTTAGAGATGTAATTATTCACTGTGAAGATATTGATTTTGTTGTTATAACACTGCATACCATACCTTCAATGAATTAGGATGTAATATCTTCCTAAGAAGGGGAACTATCAATCGGCTCAAGTACTTTAATATGAACGATATGTTTGCTGACATAGGTGGAGATGTATGTCTAGCATTACCTGGCTTACATGCCTTCATTGGCTGCGACACAGTGAGTGCATTGCACGCAAGGGAAAGGTTATGTCTAGACTGGGAAATACTTTACGTGTACCTGATGAAACAAAGAAGGTTCTGGAGACTTTCGTATGTCGGTTGTATAGTAACACGAACACAGTAACAAGTGTAAACGAGCTAAGATACATTTTATTCTGTGGCAAGCATGGAATCGCACAATCTTCCCCCATGTCAGAACACACTGCAAAAACATGTAATTGTAGCAAGAGTCAATTTTCAAACAATGGTATGGAAGAAGGCACTAGATCCACAGCCAGATATTCCATCACTTGAAGGTCACAGATGGTCACTTCAAACAGACAGTGACGGTAATACAGTGTTACATATTGATTGGATGAACTGTGTGCCAGCACCTCTTCCTGTTCTTGAATTAATGTCATGTTGCTGTATTAAAAATTCATTGAAATGTACGTATATGTGTAGAATTCAGGTTTGCAGTAACTATACACAATCAGATTATGTTCTCTCAGCTTCATCCTACTCAGACACCGATTGAGACGATGAGTAATTGATTCTTATAATAATAAAAATGTATGCTCTGTACAATGTTATACATAATAATAATGATGACATTGTATTTTCATTTTAAATTAAATTTCAGATTTATGTTTTAATTCAAATTTATCAAACAGAATTAAGCGAATACAAAGTCTACAATAACAAACATCGATCCTGGCTTTATGTTGGATTGACATTTGTATGATACTTTTGCTCCTTACAAGTAAAACCTGACCTTAGAATGGTATACTACGATTTTTGCCCGACGGCCATATTTGTGACGTCATAACGTAACTAAGCTACTGACTTACACAGTATCATTCCAAACATTGATCCTGGCTTTATGCTAAACCAAAATGTTTATGATACTTTTACTCTTTACAAGTGAAACCAAACTTTAGAATGATACCTAAACTACGATTTTCATCTTTGTGAGGTTGTAACGCCACTAAGCGACCGAATTTTACAAATTATCATCACAAACATTCATGCTGCCTTTTTGACGAATCTAAATTGGTAGGTTACATTTACTCCCCAGAAGGAAACCAAACCGTCAATTTTTTACTAAGTGGCTTATCGTCTAATGGAGCGTCCCCATACGAGCCGAAGGAATGAAGACATCGAAGCTGTGCGTTCTGTGCTGAAGTCTGATTGTCGATCAATCATACACGGTCTACAAACATTCTGATGTTTGATTGATGATCAGATTTCAGCACAGAGGTATGTTTTTATCCATTTGGCTTGTGCGGAGATGCCCCTTCTCTTGTCGTCATGCATACAGCCTCGGCCGTCGCAGAACTTCCCAAACCACAGGAACACAGTTAGATGTGATACACACTTCTCACCATATGCCATTTGTTCAATGTTCAATTTTATCAAGAGATGGACACGTTACAAAATGTGTGCACCAAAATCAAATCTGTTAAACTATTTCCATATTTCTGTATAATTTACGTTTACTGTTCAGTATATTTCTTTGATATTTGTAAGAAACTTACACCAAATCTGCTAGAAAGTCTACTGTTTGGTTTTTACTGTACTTATCAAGTTAGTTCATTTTTAATATTTCTTTTATCTTCCCACAATCACATGAAATTTTTATCGCAAATCGATGTTCGCAAATAAGAACATCGTAACTCGATAATGATGGTTTCTCACAAAGTAGGTTTAAAGTTCTATAGGTTTTCTCTTAATTGCAACACATCTTTTCAAAGTTACCATATGAAATTTGGTTACAGTCTAAATATGAGGTACAGAAACAATTTCTTATAAACGTATAGTGAAAATTACTATCATTTTTCGTTTTAATTAACTTTAATAAGATACGATGGAGCTATCTGCTATTTTTTAAGTAACTAACATCTTATGTAGAGATGAGATGTAACTATCTCTATATCTAAGAAAACTAGTATATCATATCTAAAGATACAGAGTTGTATACACTCACCACCAGCAGTAATAGAAAAGTAATAACATCGTATGTTAAGTTAAGATGAAAATACCACATAATTCTCAAAAAAGTATTAACATCTTATGTTCACTTGCAATAAAACGGTGTAATAATTGTTACACCTTCAATATAATCGTATATAAAAATACGATGTTCTTTAAAAGGCATGTTTGCTATAATCCAGGAGCAACTCTACATACGATTAATATGTTTATTTTACAACTGTATAAGCAAAATTGTAACTGTTGTTACGNAAGAGCTTTTGGAATACGATTATGATAGGCGATTACAATTTTGTGAGGAAATGATGAGACGGTGTGACGACAATAATGGTTTTCAACGAGACGTACTTTTTTCGGATGAAGCTACGTTTTATTTAAATGGAGTGGTTAACAGGCACAACTATAGCTTTTGGTCCCAGGAAAATCCACACTGGACATGCGAATCGCATAAGCAGCATTTACAAAAAGTTAATGTATGGGCAGGTATCATCAACAACAGAATATTGGGCCCATTCTTTTTTGAAGAAAATCTTACTGCGGCACGCTACCTGGATTTCCTAATATTTGACCTGATACCTGCTCTAGCTGTGATGTTCCCTCATGAAATTGATCCAGATGTACCGAATGAAAGAATTTGGTTCCAACAAGATGGCGCTCCCCCACATTTTGGTATTGATGTTCGAAGATACTTAGATGAAATGAATAGCAATGAATAGCTATTACTTGGTTACGGTCGGACTAAACAGAGCCTAAACTGCATAGTAAATATGCGCTACCCCCACTACGTCACTGCTGCGCAACGGTAACCATGACCACCGCTGTAAACAGTTTACAGATGTAGAGGCGAGCTTCAGTGTTTTGCAAACTAATTTTGCAAGTCGAGTTAAATTGACTGCACACTACAAGTTTAACATTTCCTTTTTGTGTTTCATATTTAGTTATGTAGATAACATTGTAAACTAAATTTTAAATTAAATTTTTTTTTACTATGAAAATATGTAGATGGGGCGGCGCCCCCGCACCAGTCGCCACTGCCTATGTTTCTTATTAAGAGAGTCACTCGCATTATTATTTTTTCTCCCCACAAATATCTTGTTAATACTCTTTTAGTGTGACGTCACATATTTAGACAGTAGAATGTACAGTTTTTAAAATAATTAACAATATTGTGTTAAGTAAAAGTAAATAATATAAAATCTATCTGCCACAAGTAGTTTGCATAAACACAAATGAGTAAGACTGACCCAGACTACAGAAGACGACTCTACACGACTCGTTTGGATTCGATTGGGACTGATACCGGATTGTGACGTAAGAGCAGCCGTCTTTGTTTAAGACTGCGTTTTAGTGCATAGAGAATTATTTTGAATTTATATATTTTTTTTATAGGAAAACTATTATTTAAAAATTTAAAATTTAAGTGGCAATTGACTTTCTATGATGAAAAGAATTTAATAAGAAAAGAAAAAAAATGTGAAACTTCCCCATTCACCATAGTTCACCACAAATTTTGATTAAATACTCTTAAAACAAAAGAAAAATGTCCTTGAAAATAACAAATCAACACAAAAATGTCAAATTGTGTTGTCCATTCCATCGATAATTGTGTGGTGTCGTACTAGTTTTGTTTTGTTATTTACAAAAACTAATATTTACATAATATGTGTCAAAACGGTACCACTACAATTATGAGTGGAAAGGTGACATTTTTGAAATTTATTTACTTCTTTGATTTGTTGGTAGAGCTGATACATGTTTCAAAGATATTTACGAAGTCTGTAGCAGTGTAAAACTAAACCGTTTACAAATAAATTCGTGAATTAATTCATGAAGAACTTCTTGAATTTATTTATGAATAAATTGTCCATGTAAAACAGCTATTAGATATTAATTCCAAATAATATAGTGTTTTATTTCTACTTTTAACATCATATTTTATTAAATTAAGTCTTATCTCGGGCTCATCAGATCCAATATCTAGGGTCTATTTGTAACACTTCGAGTTTGCAAAATTTTCTTTCTTGAAGGTTTGGATGGCTCGACAAGTGCTCTGGAGAGAGAGAAACTCATCAACGAGTTCAACTCCAATCCTAAAATTCACTTATTTCTGGTTTCAACGAGAGCTGGTTCGCTCGGCATCAATTTAATAGGTGCAAATCGTGTGGTTGTCTTGGATGCATCATGGAATCCTTGCCACGATACCCAAGCTGTGTGTAGGGTTTACCGTTATGGCCAGAGGAAACCATGTTTTGTTTATAGACTAGTTGTTGACAATTGCTTGGAAAAGAAGATATATGATCGTCAAATAAACAAGCAAGGTATGTTTTGTCTGATTGTTTTGTGATATATTTTCAACCACCAATTTTTTTAGGTATGTCTGATAGAGTGGTAGATGAATGCAATCCAGACGCTCACTTAACTCTAAAAGATGTCAGTACGTTGTGTTGGGACGATAAAAGGGATGAGGGGGAAGAAAAAGACTGGTCTCGGTATAAAGACAATTATATTGATGTCGTATTACAAAAAGTTCTGGAGAAGTATGGTCGTTCACTTAATAAAGAACCTTTCCAACATGAATCTCTTCTTGTGGACCGTAAAGAAAAGCAGTTATCTCAGCAAGAAAAACGGCTAGCTAAGAAAGGATATGAACGTGAAAAGCAGGCGGCTAGACAGCCAGCATATAATTTGTTAGGTTCCTCTAGGGGACATCGACCAGTAGCCTCAGTCAGGCCCATGCAGCAAGGAGAAAGGCCGTCGAGATGGATTCCTGCAGAACATTGGCAGAGACAAGGCATGACTGCTCAAGAGATGACACTGCCATTAGATGTCGTGATACCCACAAATCAACCTGAGAAAGGCAACATTGTCCTAAAAGCTGGGCAAAAGGTGTTGGTGCTTAAATCTCCAAAAGGTGTCTACATGCAACTAGAAAGTGGAAAAATTGTTGCCATTAAGACTGCCATTAAAGTTAAGGGCAAAGCTGAGGATAACCATGACCCAACCAAAATGACAAAAACTCCAGTATTGCCTCCATCAATTAAGGCTAATCCATCTCTTTCGGTGGTGCCCCAGAAGCGTGCCGTTAAGCCTTTTACTCCGGGTGCCACCAAATTCGGTGTTCAGAGCGTTAAACAGTCAGTCCCTAATTTAGTATCCAGGATACGCAGTATTCAGAAGAAGTTAGAGGCAGCTAAAGCGAAACCGTACAACATTGGCAGTGAGATTGCTAAGTCTCTTAATAAAGAAGATTCCATGCCGATGAGTAGTAGTGATGATGATCAGAGTGAGAAGAAACATGTCGAAACAGCAGATGAAATACAGAAGAGGATATCCATGCTGAAGAAAAATATTTCAATACAGCGAGTGACTAGCCAGCCCAAACAGCCACCTCCACAGCCGCCTCCTCCGGTCGAACACAAGGACAGCAGCTCAGAAAGTTCAGCCCTGGAGCAGCTAGAACACACCACTTCGTCGGTTTTAAATGACAACACACCTTTTCAGGTATGAAGACATTTAAATGTTTAAAATTTCACTTTCCACATAAAATCGGCCTACATTTTGCATCTAGTATTTTATTTTTATTTTTTTTTTGAAATTTTCATACCCTGCAACTGGATAGGATAATACAGTGCCTTCACAAATGTCGGAGTCCCCCGTGACTAGGGTTGCCAGATCTCTGGGTTTGACCCGGAGTCTTCGGGTTTTGATGGTACATTTTCAGGCTCCGGGTTAACATGTCATTTCTCCGGGTTTTCTGGAAAAATTGTGATTTCTTCGAAAACATTTTTTTTAATTTTTAATACATCAATTATTATCTCCTGTAGGTCTGCCATGATGTAGATATTTCCTGATTACGCCTTCATGTCTCCGGGTCTGTCATGAAATAGATCTGGTAACCCTACTCGTGACCGCAACTGGTAGGCAATCAGACTTACACTAGAGGCAGTGATTAACATAAAATTCCCTAAAGATAGAGGATAGTCCAGTAGAGTACATTTTACATTTCTTTACAAACTAACAAACATTGAATTGAATCTGCAAAATGCGTTCTTTTTTCAATAGAAAAAAAAAAACTGTTTTATTTACAAAATAATCATATTCCCCTAAAATATTTTGAATTTTTATCCCATTCCATATTGAAAAAATATTTTTTGATTGAAGGTTATCCTTTTAAAAATATAGGCTTTTTTGTAATCCATTTTCAGAAAATGAAAATAATGTTAATGAAATACAAAAAGGTTCAGCATTTTATTAATTTTTTTTCTATAATTAAATATAAATTAGCTAAATTAATTTACATTGGAATGCTAACATAAATCACAAATCAAATTTATAACAAATATTCAAAATGACCATCTTCGTTTTCCAAACATAAAGAGTAACTGCAAAAATCGCCCGTTTTTTCACAATTTGCAGAGAACTAAACAAAATAGATAAAAAATATGTTTTTGGTCTCAAATTACTCAAAAAATTAAGATGAGCATAGCTTTTAGTTTTTTGAAAATTTTCAAAAATTTAGGGGTTGAAAAGACGCCCAAAATGAAGAGTATTACCAATAAATATAAAAACTATTAGCATAAGAATTTTTCTATCGAATGATTCTTGATACAAAGAAAGCTTTATTCTCATGACTGAAATATACATGTTGAATTAGAAAATCCACCCTTAAGCGCGCTCAGGGGGTGGAATTATCCCCAAAAATAGAGATCAGAAATAATTGTAAAAATTCCAAAAAAAAATATATTAGATAATTCACATGCTAATAGTTTTTATATCAATTGGTAATATTTAAATTCTTCATTTTTGGCATTTTTTCAACCCCTAAGTAGGGGTGATTTTAAAAATTTTCAGAATACTAACAGCTATGCTCATTTCAGTTTTTTACAACAAGTAATTTGCAACTAAAAACATATTTTTATGTATTTTTTTTAATTCTCTGCGAATTGTGAAAAAATAGGCAAAAATCACAGGTTTTTTGTGGTTACTCTTTACTCTGCGTTTCATGCACTGGAAAATGCGTTCAAGTTGCTGCTTCCAGCTCATCAAGTGTGTGGAGAGGCTGTTTAAATATCTTATTTTTGATACGGCCAAACAGATAAAAATCCAAAGGTATAAGATCAGGACTTTGGGCAGGCCACAAACCCCTAGTAATCAATTAATTCAATAATAAAATGACGGAATATATTTTATAATTTCTGCTGCAATGTGCGCTTTCTACAAAAAATAAAAATGTAACAAATGAAACGTATATAACCTTAAAATATTCGTCTAAGGGGACATATACAATTACACAGACGAAAATGAGTCAATTTTGAGGAATTTTTTAAAGTAAGAAATATTAATTCTACATTCATCGGACTGTAGGCGTTCTTTAATAGGATATTCAAGTATAAAAAAACAAATTTTTTAATTAATTAATCGTCAAAATGCTGTGGTAGAGAGTCATAAGGTTACGGTTCGACTTCCATAACGGTGTACAGCCTAGCTCCCCGTGAAATTCGATCTGTAACAAAATACAAAAATTTTGTTACTTAAAACATGTAGTTTCTTTGTGACATTGAGAAAAATGGAAAAACGGAAATTTGGAAAAAACGGCACCCATTTAAAGACAAAAATCGAATTTTCATGCGAAATTTCTTTAGAATTGGTATAAATAAAATAGTTTTTTTCAAAATTTTCCGAAATAAATTTTCGTCATATAGAAGGTATTAACGTTATTAACATTTCTACCACAGAGGAATTCAATCGGTTTAATAGTTTTTGCGTAATCGTGTAGACCAGTTTCAGTAATGCAGTTTCGAGAAAAATGGTAAATTCTATTCTATCCTTTGCAGATGGAGTCATTCAACAGATGAATGTCGTTGTGGACGAAGGGTAAAAGGGCAACTATAAACTATTGTAAACAAACTTGGGCGGCTATTTTCCTAAATTCGTTCGAAAACGGTTAATTCTCTTACAAACATCTGGTCGACAAGTATACCTGCCCCTGTGAGCTCTTGCTTCTGCAGCGTGCGCTCTTAACCCGAGCGAACATGCGCTGTAACTTCTGGAGTTTTTTGGATTTCGCTTTCAAACTTTCAAAATATATTCTTCACATACAGTTCCATCTTTTAAGAATACTATAAAAAAATCGATTTTCTGATCGTTGTAATTGTATATGCCCCTTAAAAAGCGTCGAATTTTCAAAGTTCTGAAAAGAACAATTTTTTTCAACTCGACAAATATCAATTTGTCGAAAAGTACAGGAATACTGCTAAATTGTATAAAGAACAGGCATAAAAACACGAAAAATTACGAACGTCTCTGAATTGACATTTAATCTAGGGTCCTAGTGATTTTTCCTTGGTAATTTTTTGATACACCAATTTAAAAAAATTAAATTTACGGAGTGCCAAAACAAATGTGGTAACGTGGGATTCAAACATTTATGAAGCGACTGTATCAATGATATCACTTCAGATAGATAGATTGATATTAGGCATTTTTTCGCGACTGAATATTGGTGAATATCTGACTGGTAGTTACTATTTCTATGTCTTTTAATCTTAGTTGTCAGGTGGTAGTTTAAATCTCTTCACTCACTCACACTACACATACTACAACATACGATTTCACTCGCGAAAAAAAGCGTATTATGTAGTTCACCTAAACTAGGTAAATGTCAAAGGTCATTGAAACTAAGATTCTCAAATTAAACTTAGTACTGTAAAGAATAATAAATACTTTCTATTAAAAGCTTAAAATGATTTTAAAAAATATTTCAAATCAGATTAGTAAGTTTTTTATTTATTTTTTATCAGGTATGTTTTGTAAAATGGTAAAAATAATTTTAAAACAAATTGGTTTTATGTACAATTAGTAAGATGAGCCTATTCACAAGCCAGTATTAGTTAATATGGTCAAAGCTCCTTATTCGTGGGGGAAACATTCCGAAAATGTACTGCGAATACGGAACCCGCAAATACGGAGTGGAATTTTGTATGGAAATATAGGAGATACATTCCAATGTTGCAAAATAATAAAAACATATAATAAAAGTAATTTATTGAGATAAATTTTAACATATTAATTATTATTATCAGGTTTAGGCAATGGTTTAAAGAACTTAGTAATTTTTTCTTGTTTTGCAGCTAATAAAAGGCCTTTTAATTCAGATTGATATTCAGCCGTGGCATTGTCAATTTGCTTCTTAAAAAGGCTTCTTTCCACAAGAAGGCTCAATTTTTATAAAGAAATCACAAAGCTCATTTGCCATCCGTAAACCTTCACTCAGGTTTTTTAAGTTTAATGTCACCTTTATCAAAGACCATATTAGCACGTGTAAGCAAGTGGCGTCAACTACTTGTTTATTTTGACAAATAAATACACATTCTAAAAATACAATACACATCGTTAGTTTTGGATCCGCGAATACAGAATTTTTCACCCGTGAATACGGGAAGTGGTCACAATTTTTTGGTCCGCGAATAGTGAATCCGCAAATACTGGAACCGCGAATAAGGAGATTTGACTGTATTTAATAAATTATGCGGAAAATATGTTATTAAAAACAGGAAAAATTTTTTCTGCACATTATTTGCATTGACATCAAAAAAATATGGTAACTAAAATAACATGTCGCAAGGTCATACAATAGAAATCTGCTTTTACAAAATTATTTTTCATTGCAGTTTCACTATCTGTCACTCCGTTAATTTCATACAGTTGACCTAAAAAGGTAACAACAGGCAACAACAATAAGAGTGTTCACACAGGCAAGTTTGAAGTTGCCCAGTAGCGGAGTAGACAAGAAATTAAGGGTAGTTTAAAAAATGAATTATAACTCGCCTATTTATTTGATTAAAAAAATTTCTCATTATTATTGTGGGCAACAGATACTATTACCCATAAAAAATTGATCCACTTACAGTTATAATCTGTATAATTCATTGCTGAAATAGTGGCGGCTGGTGAAAATTTTTATAAAGAAGCATGGGACCTGTACTGTGTTTTAGATGATTTCTAAGCCTGTTATAGGAAATTTCACTAACTAAAAAATTCAAGCAAAATTTATGAAATGGGAATCTTGAAAAGAGTTGCACATATATGTGCATGATATTTTTTTCATAACTGACAGATATCTACAATTAAATTTTTTGCAAAATTAAATTTTCTTTGTAGTTATACCTATACTCCGCGGTCGAAATTATAAAGAGTGACTAAGACATAATATAAAAACACTATTACCATAATGCGTATAAAATATAAAATGATTTTTATACGGTTCAATATTATTTATCTTTGTGCCGCTCGCTATGCACATCGATAGAATCTATAATCGTCTAGAGACCGAGTTACACTGAACGTCAATCTATATTCTATCTCTGTCTTTTGCATTTGGTAGGGAATAGGGAAATGCTTTTTTAGTGGGTGTAAACGGACTTGATTTAACCCGTCCTGAGAAACGTCATAGCATAAGCGTAGATGAGGGGTCTAATTCCATGGCTATAATAAATTTATAAATTAAAAAAACACAATTGGGACGTTTTAAAATGCTGTAATAATTAAAATGGATCAAAGTGCCTGTTATAGCAAACCGTAAAAAATATGAGATGTTATGTTTTATTATCTTTTTTTATTATTTTCTATATCTTGTTGCCTTTTACGCAGACACGCCAATGAATTTTCGTTCCCGGCACGCTTCATCCCCCTTACTAGTCCAAAAGCTAGCAATTTCTTTATAAAATTCAATTTTCACTAGCTGTTGTTGTAAAATTGACAACTAAAATACAGCTGAAGTTAAATCGACCAAAGCAAAATTATATATTTTTAATTTGTACCAAATGGCAATTAAAAAATTATCCAATAATTCTATTGAGCTAAGTGAAATCATTCTTCTCTGGTATTTTTATTATTTTGAATTCAGTTTCACTAAAGCAAGATAATGCAATTTTTTGCAGGGATTTGGTTGCCAAGATCGAATCCATGAAATTTTTCTTATCGGACTATGCAATTTTGTCTCGGCAACTGAGTTGCGTGAATTAGAACATACTCTATTCAGTGCAACAAAATTGCAGGGATTCTAGTTACTTTTATGGAGATTTGTTTATTACCAACCTAGCTGTTGTTGGCTATTGGCCATGGCTATTTTTAGTAACACGGATGAAGTTAGTATTAAAGCTATACAACAATTTACTTTTAAAATTTCATACATTGCAATGTTTTTCTCGAGTCAAAAGTAATTGTTTGCGAGATACTTACAAGAAATTTTATATGTTGAACAATGCACAGTTGGTAACACTACTGCAAAAAACTAAACAAATTGCAGCAATTGTGTGATAATAAGCATGCAATTTTATCCCGCAATTTTGTCGCAGCAATTAAATTGCATTGTCTGATACGGGCTTAATATTTTGCATTTTTGTTTTTATATTGTAAATTGCTTTTACAAATTGGTGCTTGAAAATTGATAAGCATGCAGCAACAAACATTTTAATAAAACTGTATTTACATGTGCAGGATACCTTGGACAGAATTACAAGTGCATATCAAGCAGCAAACGAAGATAACCTAGAAAACTTTGAAGATGACATTTCGGAAACGTCGGATCAAAAACACCAAGAACAAAGTGAAATCAGTGACCACAGTGATGAAGTTACTTACGTGTCCGATCAGTCGCCTAATAACTCCGGTCAGTACCCATCTCAAAATGTCACCCCACAAAATACCCAAAACAGTGACCAACAACCAAAATCCGAGAATCAAGATTATGGAAATTATAATAATTATTATAACTATAATGTTCCTCCGTATCATGCCCCTCCGCCCCCTCAAGGGTACGGATATCCTCCACAACACCCCCCACCTTACGATATGATGGGATACCCTCCCCAACCTCAGCAGCCACAGTATAACTATGGTTATCAAGGTTACCCCCCTCCACAGCCACATTATCCCCCTCCACCTCCACAGCCTGGGTATGATTACAATGCTCCGCCTCCCACACAGCCAATATACGGGGGATATCACAATCCCTATCCTCAACAATACGCCCCTCCCCCACAGGGTATGTACCCTCCTGCACCGACACCAGCGCCGGCACCTCCCTACACCGACTATCAGCAGTACCCACCGATGAACAATGCTCCGCCCCCTGCGCCATATTACCCTAATTCTTAAGGTGATGTCTGTTTTTTGTAGTGCAATCGTAATAAGTTATTGAAAAAGATCTGTATTAATTAAGATTAGGTGTTATGTGGGTGTTGCATGTTCTGTTTGTATAGATATAGAGGATAGGACATTTCTATCTATCAAACTATGCTTTAGATTGAAACAAAAAAAATCCCGGCTTGTAGTAGTATTGAGTAATACTTAAGTACAGTAAGAAATGTAAGAATCATGTATGTAATTTTTTGTATCTTGTAACAAGGTATGTTTTCAAATCAGAACTGACTTTTTAATTCATTTTTAATAGCTTTATATTTTAAATATAGTTATGTTACGTAAAGCATTTATTATATAAGATTTATACAATTACAATATTGCTAATATATTTACTACGGTAGTAAATAGTGAATATGAGACAAAATTGTATTAAATTATTTATTTTCGAAGTTTTATTATTTTTCCTTGTATATAAGTATTTTCGAATTCTTCACAATAAATTCATATGTTATAATTATATGTATATTTCTTAGTTTTTATTTACGTCTTAAATATTTTCTATTAGTCCAGACGGTTTCTGTTTCAAAAAGCCATATTTGGGTGAATCGTATATCCACGGAGATTTTTGGCTTTTTGGCTTTCAAATATCACTAGAAATGAAAATTTTTCTATGCACATAAAAAAAACGTGGGTTTAACTTTTGGCGGCACAATATGTTAAAAAATTCGAAAAATGTCGTATTTTTCTTCCTATTTAATTATGTATCTTTTCAAGAGTTGATTTTAGGCGAAAATGGAAGAGGACTAGTTACAAATCAAATGAATTGTGATTATTATTGAAAAAATTGTCAAAAATGGGGTTAAAAAACATTACTTTTTAGAGAATTTTTTGGGATCTTTAAGTTGGGTATACGTATACGACCTTCATACTTGGCTCAAGAAAACTTCGTGTTATGTAGAAACTTCACACCAAATTTCATCAAAATTGGTTGGATAGATTGCATAATTTTGCAATCCAGATTTTGAAAAAAAATTGTAAATTTTCAAAAATTTTGCACAGCAAAAACCAAGGCCCTTAGATACTTGAAAATTTAATCACATATAGAAGGGCTCTCAAGCTTTCAAACGCTTTTTGAAAAATTCGAATTCGTCAATTAGGAGAGCTCTGGCTCTTGTTTAAACATTGGTCGAACTTTTGTACTTATAAACAATTAGAATAACTGAATATTCAACCAAATCAAATTTTTTAAAATAGGTTTTAAAAGTTCTTGGAAAGACGTTTCTTAAAAAAAAAAACAGATCGATTGGTCAATTAATTACGTAGTTATAGCTGATCAAAGTTAACCGTCATTTACACTCAATGTACTGGGAATTAGCCTATTTTCAAATGCCCATCNATTTATTTAAATATTCTAAAATTGTTTAAACAACAATTATTTTCAAAATATGTCGAAAATTAGTAATATAATGAGTTAATTTCTCATTTGCTTATATTTTAAACAATAAATAATATTTGAATTATACTTTAATCACAAAAGAAATGATGATTAAATTAATAAATTAATTATAAAAAATTTTTTTCATACTTAATTGCATTAATAAATCAGGATTCAAAAAATGTACACACATTTTTTTTTAATTTATTTATATGTATAAAAATATATAAAGAATTTAATCAAACTTTTTTACATGGGATTTTGTTTTCTTCTTCGATATTATATTGATCAACTTCATCTTCAAATTCAAAATAATTATTAATTTCCGCGTTGTCTAACACCTCATTCTCGCGCTCTACTTCTGCTTCTACTTCTATTCTTCCATCGAATCGATTTCTTTAAAATTTTGAACATTTTTGCACATTTGCCCTTGACAATGTGTGTAGTATTCGGAGCACTTCAAACCATGCTTAACCGTTACCATCTATCTCGGGGGTAACGGCTTAACACAGCTGAAAATAATTATTGTTGTTTAAACAATTTTAGAATATTTAAATAAATTTGTTTTTGATCTTTGATAAACAGTATATAAGTTTATACACTTACCTTTGATACTATAAAAAAATTAAGTTGATAATTAAAGGAAGTTTAAAGATAAATAATTATCGGACTATTGAAAGACTAATAATTATTAACGATAGGCATTTGAAAATACGCTAATTGTTTTTTTTTTAAATCGCGAGACGTCGATTTAAAAAAAATCATCAAAATCGCGTCGCGGTTTTGAACTAGCCGATTCAAATTCGAGCAGGCTGAAGCGGCCGCTCTCTCTGCTTCCCCCACCACCACCACCCGTACGATTTTCTTGAATTCCTCGCTTGCATAAATAACTTTAAACACGTCACGTTTTAAAGTAGGTTGCCAATGAAGAAAAGTATTGCAAACTTAGCCGTGGTAAGTACTCGAAATACCAAAGATATTTTTTGAAAAATTAGCCCGGATGTCCCAGTACATTTAGTGTAAATGATGGTTAACTTTGATCAGCTATAACTACGTAATTAATTAACCAATCGATCTGTTTTTTTTTAAAAGAAGCATCTATCAAAGAACTTTTAAAAACTATTTTTAAAAATTTGATTAGGTTGAATATTCACAAAGTTATTCTAATTGTTTATAAGTAAAAAAATTCGACCAATGTTTAAACAAGTGTCAGAGCTCTCATAATTGACGGATTCCAATTTTTTAAAAAGCGTTTGAAAGCTTGAGAGCCCTTCTATATGTGATTAAATTTTCAAGTATCTAAGGGCTTTGGTTTTTGCTGTGTAAAATTTTGAAAATTTGAAGTTTTTTTTTCAAAATTTGGATTGCAAAATTATGCAAAATCTATACAACCGATTTTGATGAAATTTAGTGTGCAAGCAACCAGGTTTGAAATTCGTTATTTATACACAGTCCAGTCATTAAGCTTTAAGTCTGATTTTATTGTGGCATATTTAGTGACTCTATTGTGGCGAAATGTGTGGCACTATCTATGAGGGGATAACGGAACTACGTAGTGGGAAATCTCCCGAGCAATCAAACAAAGTTTCATCGGTATACATATGTATCTACTATGAAATTATAACATTCTACATGAAGCGAGTTTTTGATAGTTGCCATGGAAATGCACATTGAACAGTGTACAGCAATCAAGTTCTGTTTTAAAGCCGGTAAAACAGTCACGAAAATGTTACTCTTACAAACTGCATTTGGTGCGGGAGGTTTCGTGATGACCTAGGCAGCGTGCACGACGACATGAGGATGGGGAGTCCCCATACAAGCTGAATGGATGAAAACATCGAAGCTGTGGGCCCTGTGCTGAAGTCTGATTGTCAGTTTTAGTTGCTTTTCTGACAGGAAGCCCAGCCTCCACCAAACGACACTGAATTGTTCTTGGAGATAAGTCTGACATGCTTAACTCATCAGTAGAGTACGCTGACTTAGTTTTTTAATTCTCCAGTCTAGCTGTTATGTCATTTTCTATTTTTAGCCATATCGTTTTAAATTGAAGACTTGTCCACAAAGACAGCAATTCCGAATTATTTTTGAAATTAGTTTTGTGCCACCAAATTGATCCTTTATTAATGTCTGTGACTTCCCAGCTTTATAAGCTTCAACAATTTTTGCTTAAGGTCTATCAAGATGAGTCTTTGTGGCATTTTAAACTATTAACGTGCCTTATATTTGACCGACAGTTGAACAGAAACTAAATACGACCCTTTAATTTTGTCACACATCTGATACTATTTCATAAAAAACACCTGTCAGTCCTCGTAGGCTCACATAAACTTTAAAATAGTTTTGAAGCATCGTGTATTTCACTTGTATATGTACCTTAGGTGAATAATATTTATTCAGATATTTCACTTGGTCCCCCTAATTTTGTCCGATACTGTATTGGAAATGATGGTTTATGTGAAACATGAAATAAAAAATCACGTTTCAAATGTAATAACCAGCTAGTATGATGTGTGGCTATAAAATAATTGGACTGATTTTTTAAAACAAACAAAAATAAGCTAGTTTCCATATTCCACTAACCAAATTTCATTGAGTATCTTAAAAATATTCTCATATAAGCTTCTACCAGTAATTTGTCACATATATTAGGACCTCGATTACTCGGACACCCGATCATCTGAAAAATTCCATAATATAAACGGGAAACTTTCAAAATATAGTCCGGATTATAGAACTTATTTGACGTTCATATTCGTATGTATCCTTGATCAAAACTTGCAGGAAAGGAGTACAATATCTTTTATTATCTAAATATTTAATTAGTTCGGTTCTCTTTTGTAACTTATAGCCAACATGTCCAACACATTGAATAAATAATTAAAAGATAAAATGGATAGTTATTACTGTTTTTAAATCGATATAAAAAAAATATTTTGTCTATTTTTTCCTCATCTTTAATCTGTTATCTATGGTTATTCAGTAGTTTAAAATATTTGCTAATTCATCAGACGACTCAGAATGCTTTATTTTGAATTATCAAAAGTATAGACAAAGTACAACCAAAAATACCAATGAATACAATATTCAACTTTACATATATGGATATATGTCATTGCAATTAGTCGTTTTATAGAGAAGATAGATTTGAAAATGTCTACATATGTTCCAATTTGATTTGGAGTGCTCCTATAAAAATTTAATACGTAGTAGAATTACAATGGTTATTTTTTTATACACAGGGTGTTGCAATGCATAATACAAAGTGATTGTGCCACTTTTTCTTGAGGAGTGATTTTCTGTAAAATCGTAATTATGGATTTCTCTTTATCTGGTTTAGATCAACAGGAACTCCAATTAGATAAGAGGAAATGCACATTTTAGAGCCATGAAAGTTTCTCTTATTAGCTAGGCATACACAGACTTGTTCTTTACCCTGCCAAGCTGGGTGATAAAAATTCCGACATATGTGAAGAACTGAATAGTATATTGCCCAAACATTTTGTGTTCTATTCTTAACATCCATCATCTTTGTAACTATTCTTCTAAGTACATGGAATATTGTTTTTCATTTTTTTTTTCGTTATCCAATGACACTAATACTGTAATAATTTATTGGAACGCTCCTGGCTATTAAATTCACAACATAATAGTTAGTAAGTATAATAATAGTAAGTTCCAAATTTTATTCTATTTTCTACATGCCTAGAGGATATAATATAGCTTTCAGGGAATGCAGCCCCTTTAGGTCCTAAGGAGTTGCCTCCTAAGGCTTAGGAGGCATTTATATGTTTATGTAATAAACTTATTTTTTCTACACCCGTATTTTAACAATGCACTTATATGCCCATAATCCGTTTCATAATGATACCCATTATGATACAGATTTTTCATTACGATACAGATTTTTAATCAATAGAAACCCGTAATTTTTCAATCAAGCATGCTGTGCATTTGACGTTTATCCTAGGTTCCTATGTAATTATTTTAGATGTCAAAATCAGTACGCATTAAATTTTCGTACATACCTAGCTAAACTTCGATAATTTATCAAAATGTCTGATATCAGCGATATAGAAGAATTACCATCGACTCCTCCACACATATCGGAGAAAGCAGAAAATGCAGTTCAAAATATTTTACCCCAAAAATCTAAGAAAGTGTACGAAAAACTTTATCAACGGTTTATGGACTGGAGAAATACAAATAATATTTCGACATTCTCCGAAAATGTTTTAATTGCTTATTTTCAAGAATTGATGGAAACTATGAAATCATCTAGTACATGGACACATTATTCAATAATAAAAACGTTGGTAAATATAAACCATAATATAAACATTTCTAAATATAAGAAACTACAAGCTTTATTAAAGCGAAAGTCCGANTGTTTATAGTTTTCTTGTATCTATGGCAATACCAATACCCGAGGTATTAATTACAATTTTGTAGATTTTTTTTATAGAAATACGAATAATTACTGTTACCTATTGTGTTCAATAAAAATATAAAATTTATGGTTTTTGATTATTTATCGGGTGTAGAAAAAATAGCGTATGCAACTCTCATGTAATGGTTATTAATACACTCGCATAAACCATACGAAACTCGCCTTCGGCTCGTTTCGTATCCCGGTTAATGCTCGTGTATTAATAACCATCATTACATGATCGTTGCATAATATACTATTATTTTTAATTATAGGTTTGTTGGTAAAATATTGCTGGCTATATTCCAAATAAGCTGTATAGTTAAAGTCTAGTGTTCTCTAAAATAATTAAAATTTATTAGTATATAGTCATGTGTGATGAGCGAGTTGTCCTTCCTATTTATATTTTTGATTTAAATGGATTTATATTAAAACATTTTGTAAAAGTTATATACATTTTTTACTAACAAAATTCTTATAACATTAGAAATTATTTCTTATAGATATAAAAAACACATTTGCCATATTAATTATTACTAGTAGTACTTGGACCAGGCTCATAAAAATTATCTTTTTTAATTTTCTCGATTTGGATTTTATTTTGTTCCCTTTCTTTAATATTCTGCAGACGTATAGCTCGTTTCTTCAATTTTAAACTTCTTTCATAAATAAGTTTCATATCTTTTTTAAGATTAAGTAACTTGCTGTGATAAACTTTTATTTTAATGAATGTTTCCTGTATTTCTGGGGAATGCTGCACTTCCGAAAGTTTCAAATTTTCATTGTGGATTTGTGTAATAAGAAATTCTTGCTTTGAAGTAAGTTCTTTGAGTTGTTTTCCAACATTCACCATCGGTACACTGTGTAAAGTTATTAAACCTCCTGAAAGATTGTTCACCGACGAGGCATATGGATTAACTACATTTGTCTCTGTACTTTTTTCGAATATATTTTTATTTAATGAGCTCATTGTAGATATAATACTTGTATGTGTCGCATATTTTTCCGTAAATGCCTAATAAAAAAATTTTCATAAAGACTTTCTTATATTCATATTCTCCCAATTTATTTATTTATTTATGGTTTTATTTACCATAATTTATGAATAGAAAAATTTGACATTTCACGTCAATATAACCATAACCTTACTTTACTATCACAATTCACCAGAGATATGGAGTAGGGGAGAATGAGCTTCGACGAGTGCGCATCCACTTTTCTAGGGACGCTACGGGCGCAGACATTTTGAAGGCTTTTACGTCACGCAGTGACGCAGTTGTTGTTGACGTTAGGTTCGCAGGTGTGTTTTTTGAGGTTATTGATATTTTTGTTTGTAAATTTCGTTTTTATTGAACTTTAAATATGTCTTGTGCTTTGTACTGTGAAAGGAAGCGCAAATTGCAGAAGATGTCCAATACAAAACATTTCTAAATATTTAGGTAGCTGTACACAAAAATAAGATATTTCCACTTTTTATTCTAAATTTTTATTGTAAACATGTAATTTTTTTATTTCTAGCTTTCCTAGAAATGAAACTTTACTGGACAAGGACAAGGTTCTTTCTATCGAAAAAGAAAATTGGGTATGGACAAAAAATAACGTAATTTGCTCTGAACACTTTAAAGCGGATGATTTTCTCCCCTTTTGTGGAAGAAAAATAGTACGACCCAACTCTGCACCTTCCATAAAATTATTTTGTGGTGTATCTTCTTCCATTTTAAGCAAGAGTACTTTATCGAGTTCAATTAATACAGGAGCTTTGACCAAATTGATGTTACAATCAAGTGAATCATCTTTGACCTATAACGTTACTGAAGTTCGAGTAGGTACAACGTAAAAAGAAGAGACAACTGAATTTAAGGTAATAAAGATTTGTAATTTAAAAATAGTAGTAATGCTAAGGATGTTAAATACGTACCCTGCCAAATTGTTTGATACGGACCTAATAAATTAAGAAATAATATTTACAGTAATTTTATTTTCAGTGTTCAGAATACATCGAATGGTAACACTAGTACTGATAGTAGTGCTAAGAGAAGGAGTATTATGGCAATGAAAACATACTTTAATGGATAACTTTAATAATGAAAATATCTTTGCAGTATATCTCCTTCTACAGTTGCAACGAAAAATGTTAAACTGAAACGTAGACAGGAAACTTACCGTTCAGTCTTTACGAAACGAAATTAAGGACGGATTATTCAAGGCCCTGCATTAAGACAAAAATTAAATAATTATTTTCAACCATCAGTAAATAAATATGTTACGTTATACAGTGTTTTATTTTAATATACAAAATATTTAGGAACTACATCACAATTTTTTTTTATTTCATATAAATTGAGTACCTACCGCAATCTGTTAAAGTTTATCGTATCAAAAATATATTATTATTGGTGTGATTAATATTCTCTGTTGAACCTTCTGTGAAACAAGATAGTTATAACATAATTAAAGTATCATTCAATGTAAAAGATAAGCACAATGTCGGAGTGTGTGCAGATTTATACATATGATAGGTAATAATATCCTATGCAGTTATGATACAACTCTAGCCGTTGTTCTTGAGTAATATAGTATTTAATATATTTTTTATGAAGTGCATATATGAAAATTTAATTTTTTATTATATAATAAATATTCAGATATACCTAGAAAATTATGAAAAATAATTCATATGTAATTGAAAATTTCAAAAGTACGTATTTGTTAGTTCATATTTCATTTCAAAATTTAATGTAAAGTTATGTGCGTTTCTAATTTGAAATTTTAGAACTGACCTGGTAATGTAATATAGTACCCCCTCGTATCTAAGACTTCAAAATGGCGACCTCCTTTATTAGCAAGTTTGCGCATCTTGACGCTCATTCTCCCTACTCCATATCTCTGCAATTCACACAACAATAAGAAAAATCAGAGATCAGTATTGTTTTCTGGTACGTCGGTTGGAGCAATCCAGAGGGCTCCAGGCTCCAGAGCACTTAAAAAATTTTTAGCTGCTCTAGCCTTGCTCCGTTTCAATGCATAGGAATATAATGCGGAGTTCACAGCACTCGACTGTAGCGCGCTACAGATCTCAGCCACAAATTTTTCAAATGTAGGGAGTCGATTAAAAATGTAGTCGCTGCACTGTAACCCACTTTAGCGTTATAGACCCAAATGTAGTAAATGCAAAATTCACTTAATAAATAAGATGTCTAGTCAAAAGAAATTTGAAACCATATGTTACCAAAAGTTTTTTTGGAAATAACAAGCAACAAACAAGAAAAATTACGAATTTGTAGAAAAAATATTGACATGTAATTCTATATATATTCTATACAGGGTGATTTCACTTTAAATACAGAAACTGCAGGACTAGATTCATTACTAAAAAATAATTAGAGTTTGTTCTATAAACTTTTTTTCTGCGGGACTCGGTATTGGAGATACAGGGTGTTAAAGTTTACAAAAAAATATTTTTTCTGTCATATCTTCATAACGCGCTGACGGAATTGAATGAAATTTACTATAGCGTAGGTATTCATTTAATTAGACCTTTTATTGAATGTAATATTAACCTTGTGGCTTTAACTAGTGGCGCGCTACTGGACGTGACGCCACATTTTCCCAAGAAAAAAAATATGTTTCAGGAACAGCCAGGACCAAGAAGAACCAAAAAAGAGATAAATTACAAAAAAACCGTCCCCGCGGAGTCACAGTCTCTGGCCGTGGAGGAACTTCGCGGTGACCCTGACGTACCCTATCCCCGCGCCGGCCCGCGAGCCACCGAATCAAAGGCCGCCTGCATTCCCTAGCTAAAAGCTATTCCCAAAAACCCACTCCTGCTCACGACGACTACCCTCCGGAGGGCTAGACAAGCTGGCGAAGAAAGAAAAATCAAATCACGAAAAGCGCTAGAAGAGGCGAGGGCCACCCAGGGTAAGAGGAGATCCCGCAGCGCCTACACCGGCCATGCTTATGGGCGAGGTAGACGATGGACGGGGCCCACCTTCATGAGGCTGCCCACGCCATGAGGATAAAGAGCGACAAACTTGGTCCCCCTTGGTCCCAAATTAGAGAGAAATTGGAACGTCACATACCGCACGTACTGTGTTAATAGCGCAGCGTTATTTGTGCGCTAATTTGTCTTGAAAATATGAGTTATTGAGTTATTGTGTTATTGAACATCCTAGAGTAGTTGTTTAATATTGATGACCTTGATTGGTTTTGTCTAACCATATTCTATGTGCCTAATCGTCGTCGGTTTTTCCGACATCACCCGAAGCACTTTAGCGAAACGGTAAAGCATAACCATAGATAAGATATACTATGAGCATAACGCTATATACATTGTAACGTCACATACCGCACGTACGGTTTTAATAGCGCAGCGTTATTTGTGCACAAATTTGTCTTGAAAATATGAGTTATTGAACATCCTAGGGTAGTTGTTTGATATTGATGACCTTGATTGGTTTTGTCTAACCATATTATATATGGTTACATAGAATACAATACACCAGGCGTTATCGTTATTACGGCGCACGACAGCTGCAACTGCGCTTAAATACCGCATGCACTAATGCAAGTTGTCGCTCCAATATCTCTCTATTATCGAGGCCACGCTTAACGCTAAAAATAACGGCGCGGGTCTTTGAGAAGGAATTGGTTTACTGGGCTACAGTCCGCGCAGTACGAAAACTGAAGAGCCTTCTCAGAGAGCCGCCCATCTCTAGTAGAGAATTTTTCTTTCCAGGTTGAAAATTCGGTCAAATTCATTAAACTTGACAAAAATTTTTCTAATTCCAACAATTTAGAGCGAATTTTTATAACGCCGTGGGTAGTAGTGACTTTTCTTAATTTATGTTTGGCAACTCTGGTTGGTTGAAGCAATAAGTTTGAAGTTTGTTTTTATTATTTTATTAAATGTCATTTTAACTTAGGTTAAAAGCCAATGATTTTAGTGTTCTCGTAATTGAATATTTTATAATTTATTTCTGGTTCATTATAAATTGTTATATGTAGTTTATTGTTAAGATTCTGAAAATGGCTCATATTCAGTTTACAGATGAGCTTATTCGCGAATACTTATTGTTTAGAGGTTTTGGATCAACACTCAAAGCTTTTGATTCAGAATTGAAAGTAGATAAAGAGAAAAGTTTTCGTGTTGATAAAATAATAGACCAGTTAATGCAGACAATAAATAATTATGACTTCAATTCTCTTAGAGAATTGTGGGGCCACTTGGATAGTCATATGTTTACAAAGCTGGAAAGTCACTTTTCTCCAGGTATTTATTAAAAAATAAGTTGGATATTTCTTGTATTGCACAAATGTTTCAGGTGTTAAAAAATTAGAAAATGCTGTTCTTAAAATGTATTTAATCAATGCAGTTGTAAATAATAAAACTGATAAGGTTATGGAATTTTTTATGAAACTGACACCAGAATTACAAAATCAGAGTGAATGGAAGGATTGGTTTGGTAAGTTTGAATTGGTAACGTTAAAAAAAATATATTTACTTTGTTTAAAAGGTATTGAGCTAAATTTAAATAAATTCAGTTTTTTTAATCTTATCAAATGAAGTCAAAAAATGTTCTTTAAGAAAATATTAAATGTAAAATTAGTTAATAGTCTATATTTCTGTTTTCATTTTTAAAATCAAGTGTCTTCATTTTAAGTTCTTTTATATTAAAAAATTTGGAAACTTCTAATCTAATATCTGTTGAGTTAGAAGATGTTTTCTTAACTTGGTTATTTGTTTTAAAGTTTTCTATTCTATATGATATGTATACATAACTGTAATGTGCTTTTAATTAAATTTAGTCACATTACATGTTTAATACTTGTTTTTTTTTAGTACTTCCATATATAAAAAATCCTGAAGAGAATCCTACATTTTCTCTTCATTTTACGAAGCATTGGCAAGACACCTTATTGGTATCTCTGCATAATTTTCTTGCTTCCATATTCCAGGTAATTTTAATAATAATGAATTCAGTAATGTTTATTCTTTATATTTGTTTAGTATATGCCTACTCCAACGCTTTTACATTTTGAAGAGGATGCCAATAAAATTAGTAAATTGGAACAAAGGAACGAATCCCTAAAGAACCGCTTAGCTCTTTTAATAGATAAAGGCTCAGAAAGTAGTGTTACCCCATGTCAAGTTGAACCACCGCCCCATTTACTTGACGACTTTTACATAATAGCTCAAGAAAATATTATAGATAATCAAGGAAAAAGTTTAAAAAGTCTTATTAGAAATATGGGGACCGCTTCCAGTCCAATTTTGGGTCGAAAAGACAATTCCTCTGGTAAGAAGAGGTTAGGTTCAGTGTCAGGACGTAACATTAAATCTGGACATTTTATAGAAACTTGAATTTGTTTTATCAGATACTGTAAGGGCTTAAGTAGCCGATTATACTATGCTACCTTATTCGCAATTGGATTTATCTTAGATAATCCACTTTTATCACTTTTGCTCATGTAATGTAGCAATTATTAAAAACAAAATTTTAAAATGGACATACTGAATCGATGTAGTTTTGTGTTTTAAACTGAATTAAGCAATATACATATTACACTTCATGTGTTTGTTTGCTTCGGGCGTGTATGCTATCGCGTATACTACAGTGAACAAATGTAACTAAATTAATTAGCATGTAGAGGTGGAAAAAAACACTAAAAGAATTTATTTCCCATTACTAAGGTACATCATAGGAACTTCACTCAATGACTTTTTATATGTTTACGATACTGAGTTTGTTTGGAATCTTGGAAATTTGAACATCAAAAGATAATTGGAACTGAGTGAAAACTACATTAGGTAGTCTTTGGTTTGTAAAAATGTGAGTTACATATAAAGTGTTACTCTGAATAGCAAACAGATTTAGTGAGATTGGTTCATTCTATGTGTACATGCTTGAGCACATTGGACAGGAATTCATGGGGAATTCAGAAGTTGGAGGAATTTAAAGGGAATTTAAGAAAGTTAGGGGAATTTAAGGAAGTCAGGAGAATTCAAAAGAGGTCGGAGGCATTCACAAGAAAGTCAGAGGAAGTCGGAGGAATTCAAGAGGAATTCACATAGAAATTGGGGGAAATGAAAAGTTGATCTTAAACCAAAATATTTTAACAGTATGTCTTCCGTGATATATGGTATAGCAACAATTACAAGTAAGTTACAAGTACAGAAAAAGACAATAGGGCAAGTTTGCCCTATAAACCCCTGCCCAATTATTAAGGTTTAAAAGTTACATGCTGTTGAAGTTAAAAAAATAAAATGATTTTTCACAATAACTCGGAATATTCTTTGTATATTTTGTGGTTATGCAGTAAGGTCGACAACATGGGTGTAGATAGGGGGAGCAGGGGTGTGTACGGTCCTCCCCAGAAAAAAGGTCTAATATCATCTTTGTCATATCGTTTTTTTTGGAGGCCTCCATAGAGTTTGCAGCTCTGGGCCCACCCCAAACAAAAATTGTAGCTATGCCCCAAGTTTGTGATTAAAAAATTATTCAGAGCCGTACGTAAAATTTCTAAGCTATTTCACCTTATAACTTTTATGCTATGATCTAAACTTTGTTGGACTCCGAATTCTTAGACATTTCTAAGCACGAGATGAACTCTCCAGCATCGGCGTCAGCGTCGGTAGTTGTTGACCCAAAATAATTTAGAAAAGCAATATACAGGGCGTCCCGAAATTAGGGGGCAATATTTCTACAGGGTGTTCTATGTGGAAAAAGATTACTTTTTCTTTACATAAACGTGGGTCCAAAAATTCATCCTAAGGATGTTATGGCCATTTAAAGGAGCCACTCTGATGGTGTTTTTTTCTAAATAATTCCTAAACCAATTTGGTAACTAGCTTAACTCTTACGTGCTCAGTCCGTTACTAAAAAGAAATTTACAAATTTTCATTTACTATAACTTTTTATACTTTGACGTTTTGAGTTTTGACTGGAAAGTATGAAATTTCAAAGTTTTTTAGTAAAAATAGGTATTCTTGGTTCAAAGTAGCAGAATGTTCAATTTTTGTGTAAAATACGTTTAAAAACAACGTTACATGTGTTAATCACCGAGAATCGAATTTGTCCATATTTTTTATTGTCGCGGGTTTTGAATAAGAAAAATGCGTTTGGCGTGATTTGCATTGGCAGTTCAGTTATTTACTTTTTGCGAATTGTTATCAGTCGAAAATGCCACATTTTATGAATTTAGAGATAGCAGATATTCATAATACCCATTTCTGGTCAGACAAAAAATCCACAGGCAATACGGCGCACAAATTTTGAAAATAAATGTGTGGCAGAAATTTTAGAGGACCAGCTACTTGGACTAATTCAGTTTCCCCTTTGTCCGAATGCAGAAGGATACTTAATTTTTGCAAAATGATGTAAAAGAACTATTGGAAGATACACCGTTAAACATATGATTAACGTTACACTATAACAAGATGGAGCCCCACCTCACTATACCCATAACGTCATAAGTTGGTTAAACGATCTCATTTTCCTGGCAGGTGGATAGATAGAGGTGGCCCCATTCCATGGCCACCTCGATCTTTAGACCTAAATCCTCTAGATTACTTTCTGTGGGGTAGGATGAAGGCTGTAGTTTACGCTACAGAAATAAATCCTTTGGAAGAATTACAACATAGTATCCATTTGGCTGCAAATCAAATAAGACAAAATAATTTTAAATTTTTGAGGTCTTCGTGGGCAATTCGATGTCTAGCTGAAAAATGTATTCAGCAAAATGGAAATCTTTTTGAGCTAAAAATTACTATTGAGATAAAGATAAGTTTTATTAATAGTGTTTTCATTATTTTTATTAGTTTATTGTATTACTATTTAATAATTTCAATTGTTTACTTGTCAAATAATAATTTATTAAAAATAATAAATTCCTGTGAAAAAAAAAAGTATATAACTGAACTCAATGTAAATGACTCCAAACACACGTTTGATCTTCACAACCCGCTACGAAAGAAAATATTGACAATTTTGATTCCTGGTGATTAACACATGTAACATTATTTTTAAACGGATTTTACATAAAAATGGAACATTCTACGAATATGGACCAAGAGTTTTTTACTAAAAAACGCTGAAATTTCATAATTTACAGTCGAGTCAAAAAAGTCGAAAGTATAAAAAAGTTATGGCAAATTTGACCCCCCTCCCCCCCAGTTTTGGAATGTATGTAATGAAAATTTGTAAATTTCGTTTTAGTAGCGGACTAAACACGTAAGAGTTAAGCTAGTTACCAAATTTCATAAATTTATCTCAACTGGTTTCGGAGTTATTTAGAAAAAACCTCATCAGAGTGACCCCATTAAGTGCCTATAACTTCCTTAGGAAGAATTTTTGGACCCACGTTTATCTAAAGAAAAAGTAATATTTTTCGACATAGAACACACTATAGAAATATTGCCCCCTAATTTCGGCACACCCTGCATAAAACAATTGTGTTTTCGTTAAACATAAATAGTAAATGTGACTAATATGAATAGGAAACTAGTTGCAAAATAATTAGGTAATTTTTTTCCGCCACACTGTAAACTTCAAAAATTTTAAAAATACAATATTTTGTTCACTAGTTTTTTTCTAATTGTTTTGTTTACAGTGTGTCTATCTCAAAAACGAAATACTACTTATTTTAAAAAATGTACAAATGTATAAGAACTGTCAGACAAATTTACNATAGAACACATTATAGAAATATTGCCCCCTAATTTCGGCACACCCTGCATAAAACAATTGTGTTTTCGTTAAACATAAATAGTAAATGCGATTAATATGAATAGGAAACTAGTTGCAAAATAATTAGGTAATTTTTTTCCGCCACTGTAAACTTCAAAAATTTTAAAAATACAATTTTTCGTTCACTAGTTTTTTTTTCTAATTGTTTCGTTTACAGTTTGTCTATCTCAAAAACGAAAGACTACTTATTTTAAAAAATGCACAAATGTATAAGAACTGTCAGACAAATTTACTGTTATTAAATTAATAATAATAATAATGATAATTAACAATAAATAAATAAATAATAAAATAATAATAATAATAATATCTCTACTTCTCATTTTAATTACAAGGATTAATTCAGAAGTAGGAGACTTGTGCGGGAATGAGGTAAACTTGGGAAACCTCATGCTTGATGGTCAAACGCTAACCAGTAATTAAAGTTTTGTGTCCACGTTAAAAGTTGCATTACTTTTCATTTTTATTGCATATTTAGAATACTTTGTCATCTCTAACTAGATTGAATTGTAACTAAACTGAGGATGATATAAATTAACAGAGTTCAAATTTGAATCTACCACCCCAAAAACTATAAAAATCAGCTATTTAAAAAGCTTTTTTGAAGTGTTTTTTTTTGCAAGCCTGTGAATATTGGAGATAAGCCAGAAAAAGTGATTTAAAAATATGTGTTTTATATTCAGGCAACTTGAAAACTAAGTTTAGGATATTTTTAAAATTGTAATAGCGGATCGGATAGAATATGATTAGTTTGAATAAAATAAAATTGAAATTCAATTCAGTTAAACTCTTTATTTAAATTTACATATTATGTCAAAATTTAAGAATAAAGAAGTTTTTATATTGATAATTTTTAATTATGTAGTATTTTTCACGATCTGATCTAAAATTCAAATTATTTTCACTGACGTAAAATTTACAGAGTGAAATAGATTATAAATCTTTCAAAAATGCAATTTAATGACCTTATTACATATACAATTTGATTTGATTCGTTTCTGAGCTATTCCCAAAAATATTTTTATTGCTTCAAGACCATGTAACTTCTAAATAATTAATATTTTGTCATGGATTTCGTGCAAATTTGCAGCATGACCTTCCTCTGATTTTTTCCACCTGGGAATCGTACTGTATATTACTATAACTATTTATATGTAATTCAAGTAATACGATCTTAAAAGTTCTTTATAAAGAGAGTTGATCTAATTATTGTAACTGTAAATAGAGCAAAAATAACACATTTTTATGTTGATTTTTTATTTACTTTTGTTTTTTTAAATTATTGAAAATTTAAGAGCAAGTTAGAGGAAGTTGGAAGAATTCATGGGGGAAATTCCTTTGAGTGGAGGAATTCCAATTTTTTTTTTTCATTGACTTCCAAAAACAACTAGTTTCTACTCCATAATATACTGAGGAAAATAATGGACTACACATTAAGTCCTGTAACTTTTTAAAATAAAATTGTACTAAGGTAACAATCTAAATTGATTTATATCCATCCTAAGCTATCCTTGAAATATGAAGTATTCGTTTCTGGACACTGTATATTAAGGAATAAGTGGTTGGTTTTGGGACAAATGCGTTTTTCTCAAAAAATTGTATGTTTTCGACAGACCTAACCTCAAAAAGTTGCCATAAAATGTCACTAGGTAAGGTCATAACTCATAACTAGCAACCTCTAGCAGCAATACATTGGTAATTTTTTGGAAGATTTACCCAAAATTTGATCATAAAAATGCCCATGAATACAGGAAAGAAAATCATTACTTTTTTATGTACTATTGGCCCCCAAATTATGGTACCTTTTTCCAAAATACTTGATATTTTTTGTAACAATGTTCATATTTTCAATTAGTGAAGCGAATCTAATTATGTTACGAGCCATGTGCCCACGAACTCTATTTATTATGTACTTTAATGTCGATAGCCTTTATGTTTTAGGGTATAAAATGAAACCGACGAAACATTTAATGTTTATTATGTACAATACTTTTAAATACATTAACATTAAAAAAATAAATAACAGTGTTTACTCTATCAATTATGACCTATTTCCTAGTTCAAATGTTTATGAAGTGTTAAAAATTACAGAGAGATCAGCAACCACTTTTTAATTTATAATACAGTAATTTAAAGTATGATTAATATTACATTATTACAATTATATTACATAACCTGTTGAGGAAGAATATTTTAAGATTAAGTGGGTCAAACTTAAAACTTTAAATAGGGGGTCAAAATAGGAAAAAAAACTTCTATGATGGAGCTTGCAGATACGCTTCGTTTTCAAGATATAGCACGTTGAAATTTGAAAAAGTTTACATTTTCAAAATATTTAAAAAATTATAGACTACAATTTTAAATTATATGCTGAAAAAAAAAGTAAAATCTTAAGCCAGAGATTTTCTGTACTTTCATTGTATTTCTAGAAGAAAAATGAGAAATGGTTTGTTTTTCAGGTAGGTCAAATGTCACAATTCTTTAGAAAATAAGATGACCGTATGCCGTATATATGTTTCTTAGAAATACCACTGGTTTTAATTAGATGTCAGTCGCACGACACATTTTTAGAAACATTTAAAAAATTATTTCTTTTTTTTTACCTCCCTATATCTTGAAAATGTGTTTGCAGGCATTCATCATAAGACTTTTTTTATTATTTGACTGAAACACTGTGGATACTGGCCTATATTCATAATTCAAGCCTTATCATAATTAAAATAACTAGTTTGGAAGATATGGACAGTAGTCAGCTAATTATAGTGACATTTTGGCATCTTAATATTATCTTGTTTAGTATCACATTTTAGTTTGAATCACTACTGACATTTTACATTTATACAAAATTTATAAGAATATATCTTATCCGAAAAAATTTGAGAATAGATGCGTCATGAAAATGGAGTCAATATCATAAAAAAATGTTTGTAAAATTCTTTTAGTTTACGAGAAAGAAATTATTGAAGTTGGAGTATTTAAAACCATTACATAGCTGGGCTACTGTAGTCTCTAGTCATTTGCGTTGTGCGCTGACCACAAATTGCTCTCCGCGGGGACCCAGGCGATTCCGAATCCGATTTTAGTAGGTATTACATTACTTTTCTTTAGGAAAGAAATTCTTTCAATTTTTCGTTCGTTCATTTTTTATTACACTTTACCGTTGTGCCAGTTTACGACTGCATGCTTTACCTTACGCAAGGTCAGGTTTTACAGTGGATCAGTTTCCAGTGCCGAGCAGAAGTGTATTTTTAAATCATTTTCGAACTGCCTTTTTTGATTTTTTTTTACAAAATTGTATTTGTAAGAATCCCCTGTACATTGAAAAATTTTTTTTCAGATAAGTTCTGAATCACCCTGTATAATTTTGGTTTCACCGTAGCGAAGTATCGGTATATAACTAACAAGTAAATAGGCTCTCTAAGTTAAAACATACTCAAAGTTTCTGTAATTGTAACAATCAAATTTACAGTATGATAAATCGATCCACAAAGTATTTCCAGTTTTTCGATCGGTACTACAGTTATAATTAGATCACCCTGTATAATTATATTGCACACCGCTTTTGCATATCTTCCTGAATACTATTGTGACACAATCATAATATAATCAACCGATGATTACTTTCTTCGTTATGTACAATTTAGTACAAACTATAATTCCTGAGGATTTTTGTTTAAAATTATTGATATGAATTAAGTAGTTTTTCACTGTTTGTGTTTTAAATCGAAAATTTCTATTAGTAAAGGCTCTACTTCTGAAGGATTTACATCTAGGTACACATTTATCAGTTCCTCGTTGAGTTTGTGAAGTTCAGCAATTTTCTGAATCAGTTTTAAAAATGTTGATTTCGCCTCACATCCTGGGTAAATACTTTCCAGATATCTTCTTAGAAGATAGTAGTAAGAATTCTAGAACAAGCAGATGATAACAATTATTATCCAGCTGGTAGAATTTAAAATAATAATAATGAATTAGTTCCAGTTACAAAATATTTATTAAAAAAACTGCACCTGTTCCAATTTAATCACATCCTGGTGAATGACTCTTTGTCTTTCAGGCGTGAACAGGACCACTGCACACAATATCAATATAATATTTTCATCAACTCTCCACTTTGGATCAAAGGTTTTTATGAAGCGTTCATGTTCCTGGTATATATTTCCTTTAGCAAGTTTGAGTACATCAACATTTAAAGTTATATTGTCTTGACTAGGAATCTGTAATAAATCAATACACAAAATAAAATTGTAACTGTAAATTCACTACACGGTACGATCAGTTAAGGTTATATAACAGCAACACAAGTTTCTATTATTCCATCCTTTTAGTATGCACTTTACATGCCACTGCCAGCAAAAATTGTTATTAAAAGTTCTTTGAAAAAAAAAATAAAATAAAATGTATATTAAAGTGTTAAGGTATTACATATTTAATAAAGTCTGATCACTAAGGAGTGACTGAATCTTGGACACCATTCATATGTGACTTTAAATAAAAAATCTATTAACAAATATGGCCAACAGTTTATTTGAAATATTTTTAAGTTCCTAATATCACTAGGAAGCACATTTGCCATGGATTACAAAAATATCATCAATATTTCCAAACATCTTGAATACAATCTAGGTGGAAATATATCTTTTATAATTTGTTCAGTCCCCCACAAATTTAGTTATAAGAATTTTTTCTTATGGTAAATAATAAATACAGGGTATCACCTAACGAATGTTACATACAAATGGTGTCGATTTAACCAAACTTGTTTAAATGAAAAAAGTTACATGGTATTAAAGTTTCTTTTTTTATTCCTTGTTTTGTCCTTAACTCAGAACTCAGTTAACCGATTTGAGCAAAATTTGCTGTTGCTTAGTTTCTCTTCATGAAGTGATTATGTTCGTAATAGGTTAAATCATACAGAACATTCATTTTTCTTAAACTCTTTGTGAATATTCTTCTGTGACTTTTTTATACGTTTAAATTTTTACACGCAACTATCAGAAATAGGTAGAGAATTTTATTCTACACAAAAATATTTTTTGGAAATAACGTATTCATAACAAGACAATTTTGATAAGTCACTGTCAAGTGTGTATTTTGCAAAAGTTTGTTTCTGAATTATGAAATGAGAGACATGATAGTGGTATATGTACAGGAATATTTTAGTGGATGCACTGCTAAGAGAACATATGAAGAACTTTATCCGAAATGCAGACAGCCTTCTCATACATTGTTTGGTTCTTTATTTAATATATTAGGAGAAACTGGAAACTTTCGGTCTAATTCATGAAATGGAAGGTACGTTCAAAGAAGGGTAGATGACGAAGAATAAATTCTAGAAAGAGTAGAAGAAAATTCCAAAATTACTATTTGTTGTTTGTCAGCAGTCACAGGAGTTGGCCACAAAACCGTTTCAACTATACACCATGCACAGTTACAATGTTTCTATTTTCACCCTGCATAAAATTTGCTTAAACCGGATCGACTGCCCCCTGAGATTAACATTTTGTAAACGATTTTTCCAGTTACATAAACGGGGATCACATTTTTCACGGGAGAATTGCCTTTACAGATGACACAACCTTTACACTTGTGGAGCGAAGCAAATCCACACGCAATAAAAGAGTATCACTTCCAATACGAATTTTCAGTTGTCTGGTGTGGGGTTATAGGAAATTTTATTTTGGATGCCTATCATTCTATCTGCAAGGTTCAATGGCCAAAATTATTTGGAATTCCTTCGGCAAGAACTTCCTGGGACTCTCGAAGAAGTACCCATTAATACTAGACGACAAATGTGGCTTGTGCACGATGGTGCCCCTGCTCATTACAACCATTTGGTGAGAGATCATTTATATCAAGCATTTCCAAACCGTTGGATTGGTCGAGGTAGTGACTTTCCTTGGCCTTCTCGCTGTCTGGTTTTTCATCTGTTAGACTTTTACTTTTGGGGTCTTTTAAAGGGAATTGTTTAAAACTTGTAACATCTAATACGGGAGAAGAACTTTGGGATAGAAAAAAAGACGCCGTATGACAAGTTAGGCGAATGTATAATTCGTTTCCTATTCTCAATAGTTTCATAAAACGTTTAAGGAAATGTGTTGAAGAGAATGGGGGACATGTAGAACATTTATTATAAATTAGTAGACTTTTTATTACTGCCGCCTTTCAGTTTACTATGTTATTAATTATGTTATATATTATATTTTCTGTAATAATTTCATAACCGAGCATAATTTTGACTTTTGATAGGTATACATTTTTTGTGTAGAATAAAATTCTCTACCTATTTGTGATAGTTGCGTGTAAAAATTTAAATGTACAAAAAATTTACATAAGAATATATACGAAGGGTTGTAGTAAAATGAATGCCCTGCATGATTTAACCTGATAGGAACATAATCACTGAAGAAAAATTAAGTTACAGCAAATTTTGCTCAAATCGGTTAATTGGGTTCTGAGTTAAGGAGAAAACAAGAAAATAAAAGAAACTTTAATACCCTGTAACTTTTTTTTGCAACATTTTTCATTTGAGCAAGTTGGGTTAAATCGACACCATTTGGGTTCTAGATTATACCTTCGAAGTAGGTAACATTTGTTAGGTCACACTCTGTATATTCGATAAATATTTTTAAAAGCAGGAACTTGAGTTTGCCTTATCTAAATTTAACAAATTATAGCTTATTTTAAAAGATTCTTTAATGTGATACTTTTTTTAACTCAAAAAATTAAATGCAATTATATAAGTAACTTTTTTTACTTAATCTCAATGTTGCAACATGAAAAGTGTCCAAGATGTAGCCATTATATAGCCTTAACGCTTAATTAAATATTATCTAAATACTTTAATAATATTTTTAATTCAATAAAATTTTAAATAACAATTTTCATCACTATCACACAAAGCACAACTTAGAGGGATACAATGGATAATGGAAATCATTATAGGACAAGATCTAGTAAAGGTAATACTTTACTTGGTTTTACTATACTCACATTCCATGTTTGTTTTTTGGGATCGTAGTTCATCGCACTTCTTAAAATCATAATTTCCGTGCAGCCTCCCTTTAGTAACGCAACTTGGTCCTCTTGGCACATGTTTTTAAACGAGTTAATTTTCTTGGCCATCTTAATTAGTCGTCTAATAACAAGGGCAGTCAAATTTATCACATCTAACAATCCCGGATCAGCATCCAACATTTTCGGGGGGTTTCCCTGTAAAAAGGACTGCATAAACCATGCGTAAGTATTTTTTTACAATTTACATTTTAATGGAATTTATACATTAATAATAAATAATTAAAAACTGTACACATAATTAAAAAAATTGCATTGAATAGAATCTGCTATACATTTACCATTTTTGGTAAAAAAAATTGGTCAAGTTGAGACCATACAGATAATGACAGAGTCAAATATATGGTCTATTTGGCAAGTATGTGTAGCATCTTGTCATTGAATATACTTTCTGCCACATTTATTGTCCACAGCTGGGTGCTATTTGAAGAAGAAGAAAAAGAAATTGAAAAGAAGAGAAAATACACTTACATTAATTAACAATGAAATATTAAAAAAAACACAACCTTAATAAAGTCACAGTCGTACTTATTCCTCCATTCATTAAAAATGGACTAATTTTGCAATTATTAAAAAAGGCGAAAAATTTGTATTTTTTGTTAGTATAGTAACCATAATTTCGCTGAATTTGCATCAAGACATTGGAACATAATCACTAATATGTACAGTCAAATAAGACTTGTAAATATATAATTAATTGTAATGTAATGTAATAATATAATTGTAATGTAATGATTTGCTATAAGAAAATTAATAATACAATGGAGGTTTTCAGTGACTTCTAATATTTACTCTTCAATATATCGTCCCTCTTATCACGTAGGGGAGTATAATCCAAGAAATGGATATACACATACGCCTTTACGTGATAATAGGGACGATATTTTATTTATAATCTAGATCTTTGACACTTTTATTTTATTTACTTATTACTTATTACACTTATTTTTTATTTTAACACATTCACTGCTCATTTTGATATTGCGTCGGCATAAACATTTTTATATAGTGCTTACACCACCTAAGTGGGAAAGAGGGGTATACCCGCAATGTTGCAAATTTATCACTATTAAGTTAAAAGGCTGAACACTGCAGTTGGATTTTTGCCATCTTTGGAGCAACTCCGATGAGGTTGTAAATTGAATTATAAATGGACGAAATCAAACTTGGTTGGAATTTTAACTTCTTCTTGTCTATCAAGATGAAATGTCAAAGAATTTGAAACACAAATAGACTAATCAAGGATAAACTGCTTGCATTATTACAATTTTTCGATTCAGATGAGCATTTCAAAGATTCTGGTAATAAAACAAAGGAAGAAGATAATGAAAGTGAAATCCCTCATATATAATGCTTAGCCCATTAATTTGTTTGCATTTTCTCACTGCATTTTTCTTATGAATGTTTTAAAGTTGAATGTACTTTTTGTTATACAGGGTGTTCCGAAATTCATGCAACAAAATTTGGTCATAGATTCTTAAGACAAATTTAAGGGACCCGAATTTTTTCTTTTTGCCAACTGGTCCCCTCTTTCAGAGTTACAGCCCCCTGAAATCTGCCCCTAAGAAGTCTTTTTTATATCTCAAATAAATCATGTTGTACGAGAATCACTAAATTTGGTACACAGGGGTAAATTTGGTCGCGAATTTGATTTTTTTAAATTATTAGTTAGAAAGCCATTGAATTTAGAAACTTTTTTGTTTCTTGATATTTGTTTCGTAAAACGTAATGTTTTTGAGGAAAATGGCGAACCGCGATGTGCATTCGATCACATTTTGACATTTTTCTCGAAAACATTGCGTTTTACGAAAAAAGTATAAAAAGACAGAGTTTCAAAATTTAATGGCTCTAGTGGACTGATCATTTTTAAGAAATTTAAATATGCGACCAAATTTTTTTGGCTCCAAAGACAAGGAAGCCCACGAAAAATTGTCTTAAGGGGTTCCCCGTCAAAAAACGTAGCACCTTCAGATTCCACATGACATAAAACCCCTGTGTACCAAATTTAGTGATTCTCGTACAACAGGGTTCCGAGATATATAAAAAAAAGATTATTCTTAGGGGCGAACTTCAGGGGGCTGTAATTCCGAAAGAGGGGGCCACTTTGCAAAAATAAAAAATACGGGTCCCCTAAATTTGTCTTAAGAATCTGTGACCAAATTTTGTTGCATGAATTTCAGGACACCCTGTATACAGGATGTACCTTAACGATATAAGAATATTTAAAGGTGCGATTTTTCATGGAAAATGAATAATAGTTTGCTTTATAAACTGTTTCAAAAATGTCCCGTTGCAAAAATACGTTAAAATTTTAGGAAAAAGAAGGAAATTAATTAATATTTTCAAATAAAGGCGCATGTTTTTCAATACAAACATAATTTTTAGCTTTAACAGTGGCATGCATACGGGCACTGACTGATATTTTTAAAGAAAAAAATGTTTTTTTCCCAAATAAAATTATTTTTGAAATCCCCATTCAATTCGAAAGATAAGATCTCTCTTGAGTCTTGAAACAATGAAAATTCAATTGCCACTATACAGGATTGTGTTCTCACGCAGCTGGCTTAAAAATAGTAAGTGGGCTTATCAGCGAAGAACACAAACTTCTAAGTCGCCCATCTGGATTGAAGTTTGATGAAGGATCAACAATTTGGTATATCAAGATGTAACGAATTTCGAGAAAGGTAGCATAAATTTGAAAAATATTAATTCAAATTTAAATAGATATAAATGAAGAAAAATTAATTAATACATTAAATTAATAAATCAATAAAAAATAAATAAAACAAAATTTCTTTGAAGGCCTGTAACCTTTTAAGGAAGCAAACTTGTATTAAGTTGATCTAAATTGGTTTATTTTCACCCGTTTGAAGCATGTACCATTAATTGCGGGATACCCGGTACACACGATTTTTCAAAATTAAACTGAACAAGAACTGATCTAATGTATATTGATCATTTCAAATTTTTTTATTAGAAATTTTTAAATTAAACTATATTTTCAGGTGAGACAAGTATTTAAATTTTTGTACAATTTTAAATTATTAAAAGGTGGATGTGAAACATTGACCTCAGTTCTCATGTATATAATCTCGATAATGTAAATATGGTTTTTTATTTACACAATTTATTGATAAATTGATTATCTATTAAATATTTTATCACTAGTATTTGTTGACTTGGCACTTTGAATTTATTTTGCCAATAAGATCAACATTAAAAAATACCCAAGTGTTAAAAAATTTCAAGGAGCTACAAAGTATTTATCTATCTAAATACAAATATTTTGTAATGTTTATGCGATTATATTATAAGTTAATAAAAAAATATGCAAATTTATAAGTGATATCAGATAAAATTATACTTAAGAACTGACAATTCAACTGATAAAATACTTCAAGTTAGTCTATTCCAACGATAAGTATTTCTTTTAATTGCAATAGTTGGACATTAAACAATACTAAATTTTCAAAAATTCATCTAGTTTTCATAAGAAACGATAGGTACCTTAAATTTACAGTCATCTACTGTCAGGAGGCTATTTAGTTCATCGTCGACAGGTGGTAGAAGAGCTTTATTGGCGACTATAAGTTCATTTAGTTTTGCCCTTTCAGCGTCATTTAACTCTCTTGAATTTGAGTGAGACTGAGCTATTGCAGAGAAAGCTTCATATTCTAATTTAATTGCTTCACAAAGGATTGATTCGATGGGGCTCGGATCCAGTGAATTTACTCTAAAAAATGATTTCAATCATTCTTAGAACAGTACTGTCCTGATTTTTTGATACCCCTATGCACACATGACCAAGGAACAAAAACTAAGTTAAAATTCTTGGAGGAGTCTGATAGGTACCAATATATTTCATGTATAGTCTTTCCGATATCAATTGAAGAACCAACAGATTGATAGTATGTACCACGTTCGGTCGCTGACGCAGCAACTCGGCATTGAAATATTTGAAAAACTTGTTCTCATATTTATTTAGCCATACCCATATACAGGTCTGGTCGAACTAAACGTGGAGGTGATAGAAATGTATACCCTCAGTTGAAGAATGCAAGCCTGGGCAAAGGAAAACGATCACAGTTGCATTGGGCTACTGGGCAATAAATAATAATAATAATAATAATAATAATAGTAATAGTAATAGTAATAGTAATAGTAATAGTAATAGTAATAGTAATAGTAATAGTAATAATAATAATAATAATAATAATAATATGCTTTATTTCTCCTGAGACATAATACAATGCATGGAAAACATCAAGTAAATACAATAAAATTCATAATAGAATTAATACATATATATAACAAATAAATAACAATGACACAATCATTGACTACAAAGTCAATTTGCTCAATACAAGATGACAAACAACAATCAAAGAAAACTACACTCAAAAAATTCACGCACTGTGTAGAATGATTTTGTCAAAAGTAACACTCTACGCGACTTTTTGAAGGAAGGGATGCTCTGAATATTTCTTATATTAACTGGAAGGCGGTTATATATTTTAGGTGTCATAACAAAAGGACCATTAGCTGACTTTGCCAATCTGTGTCTAGGTACCACGACAGCATGCCTATCTCTGAGGTCAAACGTCAAATGTCTATCTGCGAACTGCGTAAATTCAGACTTGTGAACTCTTACGTATATCGCGCACTCTAAAATATACATTGAGACTGCGGTCAAGATTCCCAAGTCTTTAAATAATCGGCGACAAAAAATGACGCCATGTTTTAAACAGCATAGTTCGAATTATTGGTTTTTGCGCAATCACTAAATTGTCGATACATGAACCATTACCCCGAACAGAGGATACAATAGCTTAGGATAGGGTAAACCTGTCCGTAATAATATAACTTCAGTACGTCAAGACTCACAAACTCCCTCAGCTTCCACATGACAAAGTTATGTTTGAATAGCCCCTTATATAAGTTCACTATTTGAGCCTGCCAGTTAAGACACCTGTCAAATGTGACTCCCAGAGACTTCACACAATCATTATCCCTAAGAGATCTCCCATTTAGGGCAACATATAAACTATTATTAGGGTCATGAATTGAAAAAGAAATCATTACAGTTTTCGCGCAGTTTAGAGACAGTCCATTTGCCACACAATATTTTTTCATTATATCAATACAATTCCCACCCTCACGAGCCAACTGATCAACGCTGTTTGCCCGAAAAGCCACAGTGGAATCATCTGCATAGAGAGAAGCCTGATTTGGAAAAAAACAGTTGCCTAGATCGTTTATAAAAATGATAAACAAAATAGGTCCCAAAATGCTACCCTGAGGAACACCCAAGGGAACCACTCTGTTGCTCGATGTAGACTGGCCAACAGGACCCTTGACGATAACTTTCTGCTGTCGATTTGATAAATAAGATCTCAACCACTCAAGGGGAGTACCCCTGACCCCATAATGTTCAAGCTTTATCAGAAGTAAGTCATTGTTTACGGTATCAAAAGTCCACGTTAAATCAAAATAGAAACAAGCCGATTTCTGCTTGGACTCAAAACTTTCCAAATTGTGTTTATAAATTGTCAATAAAGCATCCAGCATTGAACCAGCTTGGAAACCAAACTGGATATTACTAATCAACTTGTGCTCACTCAAGAAAAACTTTAGATTTTCTGCAAAAGCCTTCTCATATATCTTTGCAAACACCGACACCAAAGAGATACCTCTATAATTCGAAATCTTATCACTTTCCCCCCTTTTTATAAATAGGGACGATCAAACTCTGTTTTAAAACAGGTGGAAATGAACCCTGTTCAAAAGAGCTATTTACAAGTTTAGTAAGAGGTTCCTTTATGTCATGAACCACTTGCTTAAGGATAGAGCAAGGAATACCATCAAAACCCCCTGAATCCTTGATAGAAACACTATTTATCACCTCGACCATTTCCTCGTGAGAAAGTGGTAACAGAGTCAAAGATTCAGCCACCCTGTCTGAGGAAAAAACATAATTGTTAGGATTTACATCCGACTTACGGCTTTCTCGAACAGAGTCTAGAAAAAATTGATTAAAAGCTTCCGCAGATTGCGCAAAAGGCACAGAATTATTTACATCATCTACAAAAAAGATAGGAACACTAGAGCGGTTATTTACATTTACATGATCCTTTATTACATTCCTGCCAGCAGCCTTTGATTTATTCTGCGCTAACGCAATTGATTCCCTATAGTAACTTCTTTTTACCTCTAATAGTTTTTTTGTGAGATTTACTTAATTGTTTGTGCAGATTCATATTTCTGTCTGTAGGGCAAAATAAGTACCTTTTATACAAGTCTTTCGGGAAAAGTCAACAAACCGGAAAAACTTATCAAATTTATCATTGCTATCAAGCACGTTATCTATCAGAGCATTCCATCCCACATTAGCAGCATGAAATTTAAAGATCTGAATATTGAAATCGTTAAAAAAAAAATGAGTTTTATCAGCAATCAGTTGCATAGAATGATCAGAAAAAAAAGGGAAAAACAACTCTGCCCTTACAATAGGTACACTGACTCTGACAAAAACATTGTCGATTACAGACTTAGAATTCATATTTACACGAGTATAATCATAAAAACTTTGTACAAAACCATACGTATCAAATAAATTTACTAAAGCAGTGGCGTTCTGACTCCTAACGTTGACATCCAAATTTATATTGAAATCACCACAAACAAACAAATACTTGAACTTAAACTTGGAGCAAATTAGCGTCAACAAATTTTCTAAATAACTTAAAAACAGATCAACGTTAGAGTCAGGTGCCCTATATAAACTAACTACTAAAATATTCACAGAATCAACAATAATCTCTGTAGCAGCATACTCAAATACAGATTGGACTGGAGTCACATTGATTGCTTTAATACTAAAACTGCCAATTGTATCGCGAATATAAATCGCCACACCACCACCAGCTTTATCAACTCTACAGTAGTAATCAGTTAATTTGTAATTATTAAGTTTTAAAACTGAAATTTCGTCAGCTGAGAACCAGGTCTCGCTCAAACATACAACGTCCGGGAAATCTAATGATTCCAAAAAAGTATACAATTCTATCAATTTATTACGAGCGCTTCTTATATTAAAATGGCAAATTCCAACACGCTTCGCCACATTATTAGACAAATGATCCAGACGACTGCTTATGCCCATGAAAAAACTTAAAATGTTTTATAATAATGTTTTCCGGCCAAAAACCAGGGCTTTAAAGTTCATCACGCACTTGTTCAGAGAAGACTGTACTTACTCGAAAAGCCGCATTAGACCCCTTACTGACCAGTTTTACAACCTCGAATTCTTGATCCTGCATTTTATTTTGTAAATAGGAAATAACACTGTCCACCGTAGTCTCAGCTCTGCATCTCCCCACGTAGAGCCATAATTTCTTAGCTGGAGCAGCCAAGGAAGATCCTTCACTAATAGCAGCCGAACCCCTAATAAAATTCTTATTCCGTTTCATAGGGACGCCACTGGCGACCGACCCATCCATTTTGCCGCTATCAAATGGCTGGCATTTTTTAGTCGAATTCCTAGTATTTCTTTGTTCCCCCACATCTACTACTTCTTGTGATAATGCGAAGGACTTAACCTTATTATTAGAATCATTAACAATCAACGAATCAATATGTCTAATCTTCGTTAACAACCCAATCAGTTCTTTATTTGTTGAAACCAAGTCACTTACTTGCTGTTCCAAAGATAATAATTTTTGTTGTAGAGCTTTTGTTGACTCCTTTACTAAATTAGTTATGTAATCTTTTAAGCTCTCATCATATTTTGTCTCCTGACTAATACTTTTAGAAGCAGACCTCGTCATCTTGAAGTTATCTACCACCTCAGATAATAAGCCAGAAAATAAAGCCAGACACAATATAAAACAATATAAAAATCAGTAATTTCAGAGCACTATATAAACACGTGTCTACTACTCAACCGTTAACTTCATGACAAATGCCGTCTGCATAAATCACAGCAGATGACAAGTGGTTGATAAATTGCCCAGCACTGCAGTGCAGCAATGCGGAATTTGGTGTGATTCAGATAATTTATTAATTTATTATAGGCACCTTCAATCAATCATTCATATTACAATTGCGAAAGGGAGAACTAAGAGGTATGAGGGATATTTTGTTTATTAATATTATCACAACATGGCATTTTGGAGACCTTTTGAAACTGAACAAAACGAAATTTACCACCAATATAAAAAATTGTTTGAGGACAAATAATTAAAATATGTTGTTGGCCAAATAAACATTATATACAAATTATTATAATTTTTTACCTTTAGCAGAAAATTTTTTTAGGGACGCCTATAAAACTCATTAAATTTGATTACCAGACGTTTTTTTGCATGTTCAACTGATTTCGGAAAGACTATACCTACCTGTGTTTAAAGTCATTTTGGTAATGTTTTCATGAATTTTATCGCTTAATGCAGATATACAGGAAACTATTGAAAATATATTTTAGTTTAATATTACATTACCTTTGCACATCATTGACTACATCTTTGGTAACATCTATCGTTGCAGTTGGAGTTGTACTTTGTGGAACACTGGAATTAATAGAACCATGTTTTGTATTGTTATTGCAGTTCGTATCAATATTGTTAATTAAAGTATTTAACATACAGATATTATCCTTTGAACTTGCATTTAAGATAGTCTTTATTGTAGAAATATCATCACTTGATGAAACCAATCTTTCATTTGATGAGGAAATACTTTCATCGTTTGATAATTTGCTTGGTTCGGTATCAATGTAGTTTATAACTATATTGTCATTACTTGGATCATAATTTTGTTCAGCAAAACTTGTGTCTTTAGAATCTGAATCAGTATTATAATTGCTACCCAAATAATCACTTTCTTGTGAGTCTGCTTCTATCGATTCTTTTTTAATTTTTTTAAAACCTGATTTAAATCCGCCGATACTTCTTTTCTTTGCTCTATTTTCTTCTATTTTCTGTCGCTTGGCGACTTTATCCTGTTCTGACATTATCAAGTCTTTACACATACCTATTCTGAAACACTTGTCGAGTCTACATTTTTGGCAGAATCTTCTTGTAACCGTTGTTATATCGCATTGGTTATTAAAAGGACATTTAAATTCTTTCTGTACGAGAGCATTTCTTCTAAAAAATGCCTTACAACTCTCGCAAGTTACAGCATTAAAATTATAACCAAGAGCTTTATCACCACAAACACCACACAGTTTTATGTCGACTTTTACTTTCATCTTAGTCATTTTCTTTTGGACAGTAAATTTTTAACTAACAAATATCTAGATGAAATGTGTCATGAGCAATTTATTTCTTTGCGAATATTCTGCTGATAATACATTATTATCATTTGATACATATAATGTAAAGTTAATTTTTTAAGTGGTTTGACCTTGTCTTCTTATCAGCAGTTAGACGTCAATGTCAGCTGTTGCTGTCATTAGTCATTTAGTGGTTTTTGTTTACATTGTGACCGGAAAAACAGAATATCCCTAGATTTAAAATTGAAGAATGCATTTTTTTTATACAGAGTGTCACACTTAAATAGTAACAACAACAACAAAATAACCTTTTTAGTTTTAGTAGGTATGGCTTTATTAAAATGTTTAAAAATTGTTTTAGTTTTAGTTTTATCGAGATATGAGCAAAGAATCACTCATTTTTAAATGTAAGACTACTTGGGTACCATCGAAAAAATATTGGGAACCCATAAGGTATTTTTTTTAAACACGAAATTTCTGTGGTAGTGTTTGAGCGGTTAGTTTCACCGAATATGATTTTGACGTCTCAGGACGATTTCTTCTATTTTCAGCTTCTGATAAATTTATTTGAGAAAGTTATATTAGGACGAACTTTTCTGTAGTTCTGATATTACATTCTAATAATAACACAAAAAGTGTCCCGAACAAAAGTTGCATTAAATCAATTTCTTCAAATAACAGGATACATGGTGACTTTAATTGTTTCTTCCGAGGGTTATATTTTCTATTTTATTAAAGCGATAGATTTTTCATAGTTAATAATATTTATATTTTCAAAATGCAAATTAACTACAAAAGTAAATAATGCTGTTGAACGTTTTACGCACTAAATACTAAGTATACTTACATAGTTTTAATGGTATCTATTTATTCCACATCCACTTGACATATACAGGGTATATTCCAGTACCACAGATTTTTGATATTAAAAAAAAACAATTTATATACTTCTACCTAATATCGCTTTGTTTTAGTCCCTATTATTTCTAAAATGATTTGTGCCCTAATATTTCTAAAATGATTTGTGCAATTTAAATGAAATTTGATACGCCGGTACTTGTATGTATTTTGACTTGAACTGAAGTTCATTTATATTTACATAAATGCGGAATTTATAGAATTACCTACCCCTAAGTCAACATGCTCATATTTTGTGGGCAAAATTATAAGTTTTTATTTAAAATAAGGTGATATTTTAGTTTTTTTTCGCTTACAATTTTTTGTTATCATGTAAATAATTATTTTATTAGTCGTTACTTGTGAATATATAGGTAATATAAATAATATTCAAAAATGAATTAAATAATCTAGGTAGGTACACGTTTTAATATTTTAAATATTTGCTTCTCACAATGCCATCATCCATTATATTTACTCTTTCGCAATATATTTGACCTAGCACCTAATAATTGTGTTATTAATTATTAGTAGTTAATTTAATAACAATATTTTGCTGACAAAGTATTTTTTTACTTTAGTGACACATACCAGATGATCCCATTAAACAGTTTTGTTTTACAGCTTGATTGCATAAGGTCTAGGTAGATGATATCTAGTACTATTTCTAGTATGAATATTTAAAAATTAAAAATGTTTGATAGATACCTTATTATACTATCAGTTATCCTTTGCAACTTCTGTTCTATACAAGGAGAAGAGGCGTTAGAGACTTACTGTAGTATTAATGAAAAATATACTTTGCGCCGTATAAGTGAAAGATTTCTAAGTCTTTCTATAGATCCTGTGGCGTGGTCGACTGGATTAAATTTGAGGTAAGCAATACATTCTATTTACAGACTTACTAATTTTATGGGGTAAGTAGTAAACGTATTCTACTACGTAATTGTATTTTTGGTTTACATACAAGGTGTTCCTAAGGTGTCTAAAGATATATTTTGATTTAAGTTTTTTCCAAAAATTAATAAAATTGGAGATATACTTATTGTTCCGATATCTTTAAAGTTTCTTATTCACATTTTAAACAAACTTAGGACGTCAAGGAATTTATTTACAGAGTATCAATCAAATCCTTATATACATGTCACGGGAGGAGAAGTTTTAGCAGGCGACTACTGTTGCTTTATACCGAACTGTTTTATTTTTTTTTTATAAATATTGATCTTTGGATTATTAGCGAAGAAAGAGGCACTCTTGTTTAATTTTTAGTTTAGAAATTCGGATTTACATTTATAAAATTTCATGACCTCAATCAAATCAAATTTGGTATTCTATACACAGTTATTTCTTATTAAAATAAAAATGTTAGAAAGAAAATGAACTCAGGTTAAGAATTGAGACATTTAAGTATTTTTTTCAAGATGCTTACTAGGGTGCTTCCTTTGAAACAATTTTTTTTTCGCCATTGACGAAATGTTGTTCTAAACATTGTAAAAAAAATCTCACCAAATTTCAGCTCTTAATTTTAATTTGAAGTACCTACTCTATTTGATTTATAAATTTTCCTATTCATTTAATACGTAAGCCTACGTTTTTTTAAAATTATCTATATCTCAGCTGCATTTCACGTTATTTTGTTGTCCGTAGGCGATAATTATTATAGAGGCATCTTTGCCCTTTGAAAGTGGCCATAGTAGGATCTATATGTGACTTGAAGGGTTTCACTGCTAAAAAATTTAGTAACTATACTTGCAGCAAAAACTGACATTATTTTGTTTAATTTGCTATAAGAAAGGTCTTAAGTAGGTATCTAAGCTTAGAAACTGAGGAACTTTTTATAGAAATTTAATATCCTATAAAATTGTCATTTATTTTTTAGCTGTAAGGGAGGAGAAAAATGCAAAAATCGATAAAAATTTACGATAGGCACTGAGAGAACAAAGTTTCCCGTATAATTACGCCTATGGACTATTGTATTTTATTCAATAACGTGAAATGCAGTTGAGATATAGATATTTTTTGAAAAACCATAGGTTCACGTGTTAAATGAATAGGAAAATTTTAAAATCAAATAGCGATTATACTGAAACAGTATTACAATTAATTGCTCTTAAAAATAAAAATCAATATAAAAAAAGTCTTATTTTCTTGAGAATCAACCGGCAATTCAGAAAACATATTTTGAAAATAATAGTTTTTATATAATTTTTAATTAAAAATATGCTGATACTTAAAACCTGATATTTGTTACTACGAATGTGAACATGATGCGATATCGCAAAAATAGCCACTGTACGAAATTTTGTTGTTCATATAAATAATAAGTTTATTCCTTCATATATTGGGTTCTTGCTACCTGCGGACAAAATTTAAAAAATTAATAAAATAATTGAGCCAAACGAATCAGCCAAGGATTATTTTTCCGAAAATAGTTTTGTCTTACCAGAAATCCATTACTGAAAAAAGAATGCAAATACGAAATCAAAAGTGGCTCACGTTTTAAAAATTAATCTGTTTTCGTTTTCTGAACTGATAATGACTTCATTTTTAATTATTTTGGACTATGGAAACAGGCAAAAACAAATTTAAAAGTCATTATCAAATTTAAAAGTCATTATCAGTTCAGAAGATATTCGGAACATCAATAACTTTTTGAAGTGCGCGATATACGGGGTGTAACTTTAAGTGGGGGTTAGTCTTTTAGGGGTAATAGTAGGTACGTGTTCCCCTGAATACGAATCTGATTTTTTGAAATCAAATAAATAATCGGGTTTTAATTAATTCTCTAAACTGCACTGCTTTAACTCTTGTGTACGCCGCCACTGGCAGATTACTTTTTTATAAGATAGTACGGATTATAAATATAACTTTTTTTGATAAAAAGACGTTTTAAGCAAAAATACATTTGCATATTCTTAAAATCTCAATTATTAAAAATATGGCAAAAAAAAGGTTTCCGGTAAAAAACATCCCTGAACCAAGATTTATTGAAATTTTTAAAAAATGTTAAAAAATTAAACAAAAATATATTTTTTAAAGACCATAGCTTTCTTCCTTAAAGGTTATGTGTGAAACATATTTTTTTATCAATTACTTATTCTCTTCTGGCAACTACTTGTAGAATTTCAATAAAATTTAATTTTAACTGTCTTTAGACCAATTGCAAATAAAATTTATAAAGTTACATGCAAAATTATAAAATGTCTTTAAGTTTTACGTAAATTTAGGTACGTTTGTTTCTATAAAAGTAGTCAGACGAATATATTCAATCTTTTCATAATTCTGTGAGTACATCTATTTATCCAGAGTAGAATAAAATAATTTTCTTTTGTTTACAATCCGCTTCATACTAGTTCCTAACATTGTCATGATTTGTGGACGTTCTGAAAAATGCAAAAGGCACAAAAATTATAATGGGCAACTTGCATGGATTTTTTTAAATGTCTATAAATAATCTATAATTTTGTATAATTATCTAATTAAAATATTGAAAAACATCTTGAGCCGAGACAGGGATAGGGTTGATTCCTTGAGTACAAAAAATTCCACACTTCGCTTCTACAGTTTATTGAGACAAGACAACTTGGGAGTGAGTTTATTGGAAGAGAGTTTCTATGAACCATCCTGGAAACTAGCAGGGCTCTTATGTGATTACTGATTACAATAGAATAAAAAATATAAAAGTCCCACTTAGCATTAAGGCAAGAACATAACAAATTATTCACACTTGCTAACTTGAAGAACTGGTACCAAAAAAATATAAGCAAAAAGTTTGTTTATATTTATGTATTGTTAGGTTTAGTAGTATTTATATCTGTCTTAAAGGTTGTTAATCAATAATTAATTATTAAAGTTCGGTTATTCGTGGAGTCGAGAATCGAGATTGCTAATGACAAGGACAGGATNATTAAAAATAGCAATGAATAGCTATTACTTGGTTACGGTCGGACTAAACAGAGCCTAAACTGCATAGTAAATCTGCGCTACCCCCAGTACGTCACTGCTGCGCAACGGTAACCATGACCACCGCTGTAAACAGTTTACAGATGTAGAGGCCAGCTTCAGTGTTTTGCAAACGAATTTTGCAAGTCGAGTTAAATTGACTGCACACTACAAGTTTAACATTTCCTTTTTGTGTTTCATATTTAATTATGTAGATAAATAACATTGTAAACTAAATTTTAAATTAAATTTTTTTTACTATGAAAATATGTAGATGGGGCGGGGCCCCCGCACCAGTCGCCACTGCCTATGTTTCTTATTAAGAGAGTCACTCGCATTATTATTTCTCCCCATAAATATCTTGTTAATACTCTTTTAGTGTGACGTCACATATTTAGACAGCCCGAAACAAATTGTCATAGTTGAAATTGTACATACCAAACATACCAAATCTGACCCTTGTGTACTATTTACATAGATACTATAGAAATGAACAGCTTCACATTAATTTATTTTTACAAGAACTCAGCAGTATTTAAGAACAACCAACAGGTGTTTCGTAAAATAGATGCATAAATGTGCTTAAAAATTACAATAAACGATATAAAAGAGTATTCCTAAATTTAAATAAACTAAAGTAAAAATTTAACATTAGCTGTGTTATTCCTAACACGCATGCTTGGAAAAAATAGCCTCATATGCAGGTGAGATCTTGTTGATTTGTCATGGCTGTCATCATTAGCTTATTTTCTCTTCTTTTGTTTAATCTTGGCATTTTCTAGTTCTATTAAGTACTTTTATTGTTTTTCTTGGTGCTGTGCTGTGTCAGTGTGTTTATCGAGTGATTTTTTCTTCAAGTGGTTTATTATAGACGTACTCTTAACCACAACCAAACTTTTCTTGAATGATANAAGAATTCAAATTCACTTTGCTTCAAGGTTCTCCGACCTGGGAATTGTAGACTAGACGGAAGATGGCTCAAAAGCAAATTGTGTTCTCATTTGCACTAAATGACGTCACAATGCGTTCTTGATCACGTGACAAAATTAAAATTTTTGCGTAATTTTAAACATCTATAATTAATTTATAGCAATAAAGAGATTGATTATTTTGCCACTGTTAATTGTTATGGGTTGTACAAATTTACGCAGTTCTAAAGGTATTATATTTTTATACAAGTTGCCTTTTTAGAAATGATCGATAGAAATCTGTGAAAAGAAAATATACCATTTAAGGCCAAATATCTTATTCGGCACTTGAAACGATCCCTAATAAATACCGACACCAGTAATTGGTTTATGTTCAAACTATACTCGTACATGAATGTAGCGTAGCTACTGTGAGGGAACTGTGCTGTACTAAGTTTGACTTCTACAGGGTGTTAAAAGAAAGAGTAAAAAATTCAAAAACAGGAAGAAAAAGTTCATATGTCCGGAAACGATTCCTTGCAAATATACAGGATGTTAAAGTTTCCGTAAGAAAAATCTGTTTTTGTTTATAATGGATAGACCAAATCAATTTAAATTCAGTACAGTAATAGTTCTGCAGAATTTGAATATGACAACGGTAAATGAGATAATTCACAGGCCGAGATTCAGGGGTATCTGCATATTTTTTTCAGCAGTACAAATAGCATATTCAGAATGTAAATTACATGGAAGAGGTAACGTTATTGAGAAAATTACTAAATGTAATATTGAAACCTTTTTGACGAACACATTACAAAATTTGATACAAATATAACAATACAAAATTTGACTTTTTTCTCTTAATAAATGATTTATTAATACCTCTGGAAAGTAGTGTCATCCATTACATTTTAGAAAAATACGGGTGAAATTTTATAGTACGTTCTTACAAAGAGTATGTTTTTTTTTTGATTTTATACATAAAATTCTAGTATTTTCTGTTCAAATAATTCGATATTGGCGTTATATTATACCTACGTGTGTATTTAGTAATATTAATTTTGCTTCAGTTATATGGAATCCTCAATATAATACTTACATTAATCACATCACATCCATTCATGCATTTAACATACATTTTTAATTTTTTTTCCATAGATTATATACTGAAAATAATATAACTTTAGCAAACAGGAGTGTATTAGCGGATATTATTAATTTATATAAAATGATTAATGTTAAAATCGATTGTGATCGATTAGTTGATAAAATATTTTTTAATATAATTAATTTAATTAAGACCTTGTAGGCCTTGCGTGACTTATTCTTTAATCCATTTAAGCACACCAATGCATCCGATAAACTCTCCTGTATGTAGAATGGTGCCTTCTTACAACGATATTTGTAACAGTTTGTATTCATTTTCAATATCTTTAGTATCATTTAAAAGCTTGCCCAAACACGTACCTACTTATTTAATAATACTATTATGCAATTTATAATTTTATAACATTTCTGTATGTTTGTTTGATGTATATTTGGTAAATTTAGTGGATACTCTAGTGGGTTTTTCGCTTGTTTGTGTACCAAATGGCAAATAAATAAAATAAATAAAAATAAATAAATTTTATAATATACAGGGTGTGCCATTTAACACTCCCGTTGCCAATATGTCGGAAATAAAGAAATTTATTTTAGTTTCGGAAACTGGTGTTGTTAGGTACCTCGATTAACTTTAAATTGTAGTTAGAACTGTTAGTTCAAATCTTTCTGTATAGACGGCGTGGCGATATTAAAAAATTTGTTGATCCCTGAAATGTGGAAATGTAGTCAATCTGAAAGATCGTTAAATTATGAGTAATTTTTGTAATACAAAGTTTTTCCCAATATTTACTTCTTTTCAGATAATAGGAAAATCTTTATTTTATCTAAATCATACCGAGACTGAATATTCTTTTAAAATATTGTTATAATGACTTTATTCACATCACATACTAACCATCAAACAATTAATTATAAAAATACCAATTATCAACTACGGAAAAAAATTGTACAATGGTAAATCTTATAACTAGTAGGTAAGTATAGTTAAATTGAAAGATGCATTCTGATAAAACTGTAATTATTGGAAAACTAATATGTGTCATCTGTCGTACATGTTTTATTTTAAACAAATGACATGAGCCACCTATGACTGCATTTTTTAATAACAGTTGATAAAATACGGTTCGTCTCTGACCCTTGATATGATTTATCATAGTACATTTTTTTTTCTGTAGTTGATCATTCGTTTCTTTATAATTTATAGTTTGTTAGTTAGTATGTGATGTGAATAAATCCATTATAACAATATTTTAAAAGCATATTTTGCCTCAGTGCGATTTAAATAAAATAATAGATTTTCCTGTTACGACATATCTCGAAAACAAGTAAATAGGTATAGGGAAAAACTTTATATTACAAAAATTACTCAATATTTAACGATCTTTCAGATGGACTGCATTTCCACGTTCCAGGGATAAAAAAATTTGTTAGTATTGTCACGCCATCTATACAGAAAGATTTGAACTAACAGTTGTAACTACAATTTGAAGCTATTCGAGGGACCTCCTAACAACCCCAATTTCCTGAACTAATTTGGAATGTTAAATGGCACACCCTGTATAGGTAAATCATTATTTCAACCTATGAACAAATGTGGATTGGGCCTGGTATTTCACTGACCACCTAGATAACCAGACCTGAATGGGCTGGATTTCTTTATTTGGTGTATGTAGAACTTGCAAGTCCTTTGGCTGTGCACATAATTATTTTCTAAGATGTTACTATTAATTGCGAAAATATCAGTGGCCCAAAAAAAGATGATTATACCCCTAAATTTCCGCCCCCGATTTATCTCAATTATCATCGTTATATTCAAATCGTGTGGACTTAATAGGAAATAACATTTTTTTAATAGGTTTTTAAAATTTTATACTGTTTTTTTTTCACACCCTCAGCATCATCAACGTTTTTTGAGCAATTGATTAAACATCAGTTTCACTTCTGATCTTAACGTACAACTCTTGGAATTACTTTTAGGAAAAAAATGCTCCAACTTTATTGTTTGTTTGCGCGAGGAACTAACCTTCCACAACGTTCCTATTACGCCCTGTGTAGGGTACATAAATTTAGTACTTTTAAAAAGACTTTATCCGAAGCAGAATTTATCTGCTATCTATTTTTTTTTCGGTTTCAGTGATACCGCTGTCTTACTAGCCAAATACCTGAGTCCTTCTTATGTCAGGATAGCGGGCCCGTCCACCGAGCTGGTGAAATGCGTAGAGAACGAGGACAATAGCGTGAACAGTTTATCAAGCGATGGAAATAACGTAGTCCTGACGCCATCCATGTGGTTTGGTATTAATGAGTGGCTTAAACTGGCTAATTTAACGCCCGTTTTTGGCATTAACGACGTCGAAACCACCGGAGGGGCCGGGAATCCTAAATCAACCTTGCCTCTGTTGGAGATATCCGATAAACTCAATGTTTCTTGTTACTGGATGCTTGGATTTGGTAAGAATTATAGATCCGAATTACGTAGATTCGCCAGATAAGTATCAGTTTGTACGTGGATTATTGTAAGTTACATTTACTTTTAACTTGCTCCTCCTTCAGAGCTATATTATTGTATTACAAAGTAGAATATATAGTCTTGGGGAGAAAATAATATAACAACCCTGATGACATCTTAATTTAACGATTTTTTTTGTTAAATTTCCTTTAAATATAGTAAATCAGATAACAACACTTAGTATTTTACCTTTCAATGGGGAAATCGGTTTATTTATTTATTTATTTATGGAGAAGGGACAAACACAGGCTTTATAGCCCAAAACAATGTCCACAAATTACTTAAAGCAAATTGAATATAAAAGTACAAAAATAATTATTATAATAGAAAATGTTAATTTACAATAATAGTTCCCTTTAAAAATCATTTAAAACTAATGAGCGAGGAATGAAAGATATCTAGAGTACTATAGTATAAGTTAAAATGTCTGCATATTCTATTTATAGGAGAGTTTTGACAGAATTAATTCGATAAAAGGTCTCATGAAACAGTGCATTTGCTCTAAAATCACGTTGTGGTACATGTAAACAGATCAAGGCTAATAAATCTGGGGAATCGATAAAATCATTAAGAAACTTATACAAAAATACTGCTTCGGCAATAATTCCTCGATTCTCCAATGAAATAATATGATAATGGTTTCGTAACATCGTGCTGCAATGAAAAGAATACACACCACTCTCCTTGTAGTGTAAATATCTCATAAATCTGTTCTGTATGGCCTCAAGTCGAGACTTATATATGGTATGTTGAGGACTCCATACAATAGATGCAAAATTGATTATGCTGTGCACGTATGCAAAATATATAGATTTACTAGCAAAAATCAACCTAAAATTTTTGCAAACTCTGACAATGAAACCAAGCATTTTGTTGCTTTTTAAAGATATATAATCAATATGTAAAGAAAAACTCATTTTCCTGTCAAAGACAACCCCAAGATCTTTTATTTCTTCAACTTGATTTAAAATACTCTTATTAAAGTTATAATTATTAGAGTATCTATATATTTTGGTTACGGGTAAAACAAATATACAGGGTGAGTCAGTTTTTTGTAGACAAACTTTAACAGGAGATATAACACATGTTTTTAAAAAGAAAAGTTCCTATAAACATATGTCGTAGAAGGCTTCGTTTCCGAGATACGGGGTGTTGAATATAATTTTTTTTTCTCGAATATTCATTATAACTTATAAACGAATGCTTAGATTTTTTTCATGTTTGGGAGATAATGCCTATTAAGGGGCATAAAACAAGCGATAAAAATGTTCAAAAACTTGCACAGTGGCGGAGTGGAGGGGTGCTCAACCACTTTCTTAAACAGAACTTCTACGTCAATGACTATTTTTTAAAAAAACTGTTATTTTCATTAAAGTTTGTCTACAAAAAACTGACTCACCCTGTAGAAACATTTACTTAAATTTAATTGAAGCTTGTTCAATTCACAGTATTCAAAGAAATAGTTTAAATCTTCTTGGTAGGCAACACAAATGTCGGAATGGTTTAATTGAGAGTAAATTTTCCAATCGTCTGCGTAGAGTAAAAATTTACAAAATTTTAAACAATGACGGATATCGTTGTTATAGATTAAAAATAGTAAATGTCCCAAATGTGATACCTGAGGAACACCTGACATTGCAACGTAGAGGGGAGATTTGTAACCACTAATAGTTACCAATTGCGACCTGTTGAAAACATAAGAGATAAATCATCTCAGTAGGTTACCATGTACACCAATTTCAGACAATTTAGATATAAATATATTATGATTAATTTTATCGAATGCTTTGCTAAAATCGGTATAGACGGCATCCACCTGAGTCTGGCTATCCATAGTACTTGTAATATATTGGGAGTATATTATTAAATTGGATTCAATAGATCTATGGGAAAAAAATCCATGTTGTTCAATTATAGACGATTTAACATCGCTAAGTAAATGCTTATAATATACAGGGATGGTCAGAAGTACGGAATAAAATTCATATCTTTTGAATGAGTTAATTTTTTTAAAACGCCGTAACACGTTAACTGATTTTGATTTTTTCCCATCTTTCGGTTATATAATAATTAATTTTTCTTCAACCCCCTAACCCCCAGCTACCCCTACTTTTTTTT